GACTTGTTCAAGGACAAAGTTAAAATGGCCAGATACTTTCTATCTTCTCACTTCTTTTCAACATTTTCTTCCTCAGCTAATGTGCTTCTTCAGAATATTCGGTTGGCAGGTTAAGTAATATTCTATTACTGCCCACTCTGAGAAGGCCTTTCATACACAGGTTTAAGGTGCAGTCCCTGAGATGAGCTATGCAATCCATTTCAACTGAAAGACTCTGTGTGTGCGTATGTAAAAACAGAGGAAGGAATTCCTTCATCCTTAGCCAAAAGGTCTATCCCAAGTTCCCGTCTAAAGGTCTATCCAATGCCAAGGACTACAGTGGAGGAAAAGCTGGAAGCGGTTAAGTTACATTCTACGGAACCTCTTAACCCATAGAAAATATGGTCAGAGAGCAGGTTGATGTACTAGTAACCTCTCCCCTGCAGAAAATCCTGATTCCACTTGAATAAATTCCTGAGTCCAAGTTCAAATGTTGCTTTGACAGAAAATAAAGTGTTGTGCTGCCTTTCCAGTCCTGAGGTCTACAAAAGAAGAAAATCCTTATACCCATATAAGGACCATTCCAAACGACTGTAGTGACTAGAATCATTGTGAAGGCAAAAGGATGAATCTGGATGCTGGATCCATGCATAAAGGCCAATCCCAGAGCAAAATATTGGACTCAGTGTAAAGGAAGGGGCATTGAGAGCTCAGCGAAAGATAACCTTCCTAATTCTCTGGCAACTTCAACCCAGAAGCTCCTATGTTTAGGCCTGTACACACTTATCAAGAGAGAGTTGTCACTGATTTAAAGAAACCCGTAAGACCTGCAGACTATCTTGAAGAAGACCAGTCGTCCAAAAGGCTTGCAACCAATTCTTCAAGAAAAAGAGGAGCTAGACAAGATGTACAAGTCCGAGGAGCTAATTGCAGAAAAACCTGAAACTTTGCTGTAAAATTGTAAGAATGAAAGAAACAACACTTTGACGCCAACCTAAGCAGAAACACACAATCCACCATCTGGATTCATCATGCCAGATTCAAGAACAAGCTTCCAGAAGCAGTCAATTCACACACCCAAGGCAAATGGACTGCGATCCTTTTCTCAAAACTCCGGATGAAACAGACAAGCGCCCCATCCCTAGCAGGTGGCCCAGAGCAGCAACATGGTGTGCTGGCAGTTTTGTATATATACTATGGGTGTGGTTTGCCCGATAAGACATTGCTGATCCAGTGGCCCTAGGATCTTCTAGGGTCAGGGACTGAAGAATACAATTTTTTCCTGATGACTGAACAACAAGGGTCAGTAATTTAGGGTTCTCTCAGAGAGCCACAAAAGAAAATATAAAATAAACCTCTGTCAAAAAGGTCAGAATTTCTATAGGTAATCTGGAGGCAGATGTTTCAACACCAGCTGTCCTCAAAAGACACTAGTCCGTGATAATGATGTACAAAAGTAACTGAATGTCTCCTGCTATGGTGTTTGTTACTAAGCACTGCAAAATGCTAAATATATAAATTCGCTGTGTATACTGACTGTGGCAGCTGGTCTCAACTGGAGATGGGCTCACTCTCTATTGTTAGTGTGCACTGACAATGGAAAGTCTTTTTAATATAAAATTACTTGCTTTTGCTTCCTGTCTCTCCCACCGTCAGACAACAAACAAGAGGAACTTCTTTCTTGTCCTCAACACTCACTGCAGCACAACCTCCCTCCACTGCATAAGGCTTACTTCTGAGTAGACATGTATTGTGCTACAATCTCCCTATGTGCAAGGTATGCAGCTACAGTTCACAAACAGGAGCACTGCAGATTCTATTCAACACATTAGCTCATGCTTAGTCTGTTCTGTAGCAATTTCATCTACAAGGGAAGTTTTAAGAGACTTAACTATAGCCATAACAGTATCAAGAAAATAAGCAAAGATACTAGCTTAAAGATGTTTTATGGGCAATGCATATGAATACAAATTAGAAAATCAATGCAGATTTTATTTTTTTGTAAGTCACAGAATTTCAGTGGGAGAGAAAATACTTCATCAAACAATATGCACTTTATTGACAGTTTTGACATTATTAATTAAAGAGAACTTCTCTGCTAGTAGTAGACTGCTAAAGTAATCAATAGTAATACATTATTCCTATTGATCTTTGCAAATATTTAAATCCCACAGCTTGTTCAATCCAATATCAGTAGCTAATCCTTTTTAACTATTTCCCAAACAAGCACCCAACATGCTTTACTTCTTACCAAATAAAAAAAGGTTGTTTTTCACCAGTGATCTTCAATAACATTTCAACCAAGGATTCATATTTTTTTAAATTGTAAAATTTAGTCCAGTGTATCTCAGATTTGCTATAGTATAACTATTAATTGCCCACTTATGCTTACACAGGCTGCTATTAGTCAGCCTGTGTAAGCATAAGATTTTGGTCTGATAATCACAGGTTACTAGAGGAAATCTCTGTTTGCTGAAGGGAGCCACCCACAAGGTTAGCCCAATCTACTGGATGCCACTATCCATACAAATCACATAGCCACATGCCACTTGTAGTAGAGAAATTCTTACATTTGCCAAAATATAGGCAAAACACTGCTCTATTCAGAGCAACCACAGTGTTACCATGATTCATGAACTCTGGGTTCATTAATACATTTAATGGCAGAACAGCTACATGGCTTGGAACGACACTATCTGACAGAGCGCCTCTCCTGACCACAAGCTACAAGGCACTATAACCAAGCTCTGATGCCTGCCTCTAACTGTTCAGGTGGTGGCAACAAGGGCCTTTTCAGTGGCAGCCCCCTAGTCATGTAATGACCTCCCCACTGGCACCAACTTTAGTAAACTTCAGTACCAGGCTAAGACTGTCCTCTATCACAAAGCATTTAATTAGTTGCTTTGGGCTTTGTTTGCTCAATTCATATATGCTATTATACTTTTTATATGTGCTTTAATTTGGTTTTAGATTTTGTATGATAAACTTTTAAAACTGCTTTTAATGTTTTTATTTTTATATTCTATGCTGATGTGCTGTAAACTGCCTGCAGAGCTCCAACTATCAGGCAGAACAGAAATTTTATTTATTAATAACAACCACAAGAAGAGAGAGCGAGAGAGAGAGCGAGAGAGAAGTTTAGGAAAATCAGTTGTTAAGTTCTCACATAGGAAGACTGGCAACTAGGCTGTGGTAACATCATTTCCTATATCAGCTTTCAAATATGCAATAGATTAGATCCAAAGGCTTTTAAACCAGCAGAAGGTCTTCCCAGTTGAGGCATGTTTTGGTGAGTTCCTCATGGCCCCTGGAGCTTCTGCTGTGGAGGGTATCTTTGCATTCCACCTGGAACCAACTTTTGTGGATAAACTACAGTATAGAATTTTAAAAATTAGTCCATTAGAAATAAATGTTAAAGCATGGCCAACTCTTCCTCTTGGCTATTACCTACCATTCAGAAACACTTTTTTTTTTTAATTAAAAAAAACGTATAAGGAATGAAGTCACAAAATCCTCTTTGCTCACACAGCATAGAATACAACATTTATTAACCCATGATCTGCAAAGATACTTGCTATTGCAAGACACTTCTGCTTGCAAAGAGCGACCTATGAATGCAGCCTAGGTACCTGGGCTTGTTTCTCAGTTGAACAACTCAAGGCAACTCATGATTCTTATATTAACAAGGGATTGTTTAATTCACAAGCAACCCAAATTGCTTGGGTTCATATGTTGCAAAAACAACCTATAATTGTCATATTTATAGGATGCTCCTGGAAGAGACTTGGGTATGGCTTGCATGCAGTGCAAATCATGACAATTCAGGCATTTATTAACCTGAGAATTGCTGCTGGACACAGCCATTACATCCAGAATGTTTAACTCTATAGAACTAAATAAAGTTCTATAGTTATTTAGTTTCAACTATATGGACCATTATTTCCTTTCCTCCTGGTCTCTTAGTATTAACTAGCATTGCTTCCCAAAACTGAAGAGAAAGAAAAGGAGAGGGAGAAAGGCTTGGGGATGTATCCAACCCAGACTGTCCACCAACTGAAGAAAGAATCACTGTTGGAACAGTTTTTCCCCCCTCCCCATGCACTCCTCCCAATCTGAAAGACATAAAGGAGATTTACAAAGGCAAGAAGTTCTGTCATGTGGGTAGATGTCCACTAATGTGACGTTCAATTTCAGCCTTGGATTCTAAGTTCTGATGAGTGAAACTCTGTTTGAGCAATGTTTCCCTTAACAATGATTTTCAACCATCTTCCTTCCTACCGCAGCCCCTTGAAAATCTGTTCCAGGGGTCTGGGGAGTCATCTGGATGACAGTGGGGCAGATGGCCCTGAAGATTGCAAAATCAGCACAAATTGCCTTTCCCACCACCATCTGTCAGTGACAGCTTCTTCTGGATCAGAGTACCTTCCATGAATAGCACCTCAGGATCCAAGCCAATGGTTGCTGCCTTTAAGAGACTCGTTTCTAGACACTGCAGAGGAAGTTAACCTGCTTGATAAATGGGAAATAATGTAACATGCCTCTGCCATACAAAATGTACACAATTGTTTAGTATCCCTTGGCAACAGTCTCAACAGGAAGAAAGTCCAATTCTTCAGATACAGAAATCCAGGTAGTCTTTATTGTTTTTGCCAGAACTACTGACATACTGTAGAGAATACATCCTGTGACTATTTAAAAATCAGAATATAGTCATCATTGCTGCAAAGCAAATTTTGAAGGCATGATTGCACAACTTTGACAGTTCTGTAGGAACAATAAGGACTTCCTCTTAACGCTATTGTCTCATCCAACAATGACACGCTATTGTCTCATCCAACAATGACAAACTACACAAAATATACAGAGAAAAGAGGGAAGTGTAAGAACTAAAGTCTATTTTTAGCCTACCTGCAGATCCTTCCTAACCCCCATAAAGAAAGAAAGAGACACTAATTTCCCCTATTCAACACATCTGCTGTTTCACAGGTTTTATGCACTGAAAAAATCTGGGTGTTTAATACCAACTGGTTTCTCCTCAGGTGTCTCAATCTCTTCTTCTGTTTCTTCTTCCTCAGCCTACATGAAAATGCACAAACAATAGTTGCTTAGGATTTTATTATCTAAATCCATTATTAAGACGTACAAAGTTTGATCCTGTGTATGCATACACAAAATTGTCTCATATTTTGATTTTAGTACAGATTCTCCTTTATGAACAAGCTAGTTTAAGTAAATTTTGTGTGCTGGCACCCCAATTATGGAACATTGTGCCACTGGAGAGTTGTTTCAGGCACGTGGCAACACTTTCTCAACTTACTTTAGCACCATCTGGACTATTTATATCAGTGTACTTTTTAAAATTATATTAATGCATGTTTTATTTAATTATTTTATTGTGATGCTATCTTGTTTATTATGTTATTTTAATTATATTTTTATTAATGTTACATTGTAGTAACAATATCTCTTATTCTGTCTGCTCCAGTTTCCTCCTGTCTCTGCCCTATCTCCACCTCTTCCTACTTTTCTTTGAGGTGACTTTCCTGGTTCTTTCTGTGTAGGCTGTGAAGAGTTAAGGAGTGGGGTTGGAACTTTGATTCCCAGGTTGGACCACAGTCTTGAACCTCATAGTTGGCATCTGAAAAATCCTATGACTCTTCAGACAATGCCAACAAGCCACTGGATAGCTTCTTAAATCTCTAAACACCAGTTGCTGACTACAGAAAAAGACTGTTGCGCGTACCTTCACGTCCTGTTTAGAGATTCTCAGAGGCATCTGGCTGCTTACTGTTAGAAGTGAAGTCCAGATCCATAAGGGGCTCTATGTTTTAGCATTGCTGTTGTGTCAGACTCATGTTGCAAATCACACATTCAAATCAAGTGGGGTTTTTTTGCTATGAATTAACCATCTGCGCCCAAGTCCTTTGAGCAGATACATGAGCAAGTTAAGAATGGGGCACAAGAGTTGCTGCTCCTTTATAGCACCACAATCTTTTTCTTTTCAACAGCTTTGTGAGCTGACTGTCCTGATATTATGGGGTTGGCTTCAGGGCCAGCAGTACTGTGTTCTTATGAATCCAAGAAATGGAGAGAGTAAAATGGGACACGACTGAAGATAACTACATGCCACCCTAAGGGAATGTCAGAAACGGCATATTTCCCTAAATTCTCATGAATCGGCATGTCTGATGTAGAGTTACAAGCTCCTATATGTGCAGCAGTAAGTGTAGTGACAAGAGCTACTCACTGCCCTTAAATTTATACATAACCAGTTTTAAGTCGCACTGATTTCAAGGGGTCTGCCCTGAGTATGACTAACTCTAGACCATGGGCCCTCAAAGTACAGCCCACAGGCCGTATCCAGCCCGCCATAGAGGCTGGACTCGCCACACACGTGCATGACAAAGCAGCAGCTTTCTCGTGTGGAGATAGTTTTGGACTCACTTGAAGAAAAGGAGCTCCTTGCTCGCAAGCATGGCGCCTCACCGTGTGGCAGCTTGCTCACAAGCAGAATGTTTTGGACTTGCTCGGAGAAAACGATCTCTGCACGTGCTTGCCCCTGCCTCGCCGTATGTGCGTGCCGCCCCCGGCCCATGCCCCCCGCCCCCTGCCCTGGCAGCCCGTGCCCATCGCCGGCACCTTTCAATTGGCCCCCTGTTGAAAAAGTTTGAGGACCCCTGCTCTAGACCATAGGTCTTCAATCTAAGGCCCATGGGCCAGATCCGGCCCGCCACGCCCATTTAACCGGCCTGCCCCACAGGTTTTGCACTCACCGGGCACACGCACGGGCACACAGTTTGCTTGAGAGGTTGTTGTTTTGGACTAGCTCGGAGAAAATGATCTCATGAGCAAGCCAGCGCCTCACCGTGCGTGCCCAGCGGCAGCCTGCTTGTGGGGAGATTGTTCTGGACTCAATCAGAGAAAATGATCTTGCAAGCAAGCTGGTGCTTCGCCATGCGCGTGCCTGGCAGGGGCCTGCTTGTGAGGTTGTTTTGGACTCGATCTCCTCACAAGCAAGCCGGCGCCTTGCCCCGCGCCCCCGTCTCCACCTCACCATGCATGCCCTGCCCCCTCACCAGCCCCTGCCCCGACACCGCCTTGGCAGCCCGCACCCACTGCTGGTACCTGTCAACTGGCCCCCTTTAGAAAAAGTTTGAGGACCCCTGCTCTAGACCCTATGTCTATAATAGCACAAGTATGAAGCTTTAATGAAGTACTTTTCTAGTCAGTCCAAACCAATGTTGTCTCTTGAGCTGGAGTGAAGTAGTGAAAGGTTTGTAATAGATTTTTTAATTGTCAGTGATAATCAAGAACATAACCATTTCAAATGCCACACCATGAATGGCTTTGGTTATTAAAATTAATTTGTTTTTCTGTTTTAACCCACTGCAGGTAAGACTTCAGGATTGAGCTTCCATTTTAAATATCAAATATTGTTCCTCAGTATTGTAAAATCCAAAACAAAACTAACCTGTTTTTTAATGCTCCCTACATTTGAATAAATGTCCTCTTCTTCAACAATCTCAGCTGGAGCCTTGGATGAGATAAATCCCAATTAAGAATTTCATGAACAAAAGGAAATAAAGCAAATATAGATATGTTTGTACAAATCAGAAAAATCAATCACCTCTTTTTTGAAAACAAACCATAGTTGTGCCAAACAGGAAGCCTAAAAGTCACTTTGAGCTAGTGAACCAAAGGCTCAGTTCTCACAAAGTGCAAATGAGGTTGAAATTGGTATCTGAACTGTTTCACTTCACAGTGTCTTGGGTTGAAATAACTGAACAGTTCATTATTGGAAAATATTTCCTGCACAGAGAAAACCATATGTTAAGGAGAATGACCCTAGCCTAATCTGTTCCTTGCAAATGCTAGTTTTCCTATGTCTAGGAATATGTGTATGTGGGGGAACAGGGGAACGTTCCCTCCAAGCGTGAGACCCTCCTCTCCAAAACATTCTTGAAGTACTGCAATCCAGACACAGGTTTTCCTCCTTATCCACTGGTTGTGGAAACTAGGTCCTCCTTTCAGTAACTTCCAATTGCTTATAAGAGTACTTCATATGAATGCTCAAAATAAGCTATATTATGCACACATATTTGCAACAACCAGAGAAGCAAAGAACAAGATAAGGAGAATGTACGAGGAGAATGCAATGGGGAGGGACTATACTGGCTTGAGTTTCCTATCTAAGACTACAGATGCTATTTGAAGGGTGCATGCGCCCTTTCTGAGAATCGGCTCCACTGAATACAGTGGGATTTACTTATGCATAAAGATGGATTCAGTTGCTCCTACTTAAGCTTACACCAAAACACAACTGGCATGAGTGTTTTTCTTGTAGTCAAACATAAATTATAACCAATGTGCTACGGTTACTTCTAAATGAAATGTAAATTCATATTCCTCTTCAAATCAAGCAAAGAGCAGTTTTAGACAAGGCTTCTCCTATGTAATCAACCTTGCTTGTTCACAGCCTTTTCCTGGGGGCAGGCAGGCACATCCCATGTTTTCCCAACATTTTTGTCATTGTTTCTGACTGCCCAACATCTGTTAAGGGAGGGAAATAAAGAATACCTGCACAGTCTTTTGATTAGCTGCACTGCAAGCAGTCCATCTGGAAGTATCCTAGTAAACAAGTCACAAACAAGCCATGTTTCCTATTAGCTATGCTTCTGCTCAGGAGGCTTGAGGCAGAATCGAGATACCTTCCCCTTTGCTACAGGGAATGAGAAATGCCTATGCAACTGCTCAAGTTCTTTCCAAGGTCAGTAGCTCCATTTTTAGAGACTCAAATCTCCATTTCACATCAATGGTATTCTGTTTCTGAAGGTTCAACAAGGCCTTTTCTGCCCACACATATTATCATTTATATCTTGTAATCTAAGTCCATAGCCCATTATCTTCCATGTTAATTGAAAAGAAAGCCCTCAAAGAAATTAAATTATCCTCGTCTTCTTTTTTTATAATTATACTGGCAGATAAACAAGCTAATAAAAGCAGCACAGTCATCAAAAGACTCTGACTTCAAAAGCCCCAGTGAAGTGACTGAAACGTGACAGCTTTCAGAACCAAAGCTTGCAAGGCTATCCTAAGTTTCGAAGAAGGATCAGAAAGCACATGTATATACTTTGTATATATACTTGAAATAGTTTTTATATGGATCTGTACTGAATGTTTTGGGATAAACATTTTAGGTGGAAAAGGGGGCATTTTGGATGTGGAAATGATTCCTCAACCACCATCTTCCGCCCCCAGGCTTGTGATTTTTGCAATGATTTGTTGCTGTTTGCAATCCTGATGACTTTTCTTTTAATAAATATCCCCTCTTCCTAGGAACAATGACAAGGTCACAGAGCCAATCAAATATGGCTATGTAACATTGTCACTGGGTGAAAGCAAAGCTAATCTAGAGAAAAGCTCCCTCCTCAAAATTACAGAAAAGAGTAGGTACATTCCTCAGGGGAAAAAATGTCTGCAAAGCACAAAGCCTCAATTTAGCTCAGCATTTTCCTTTCAGAAAATCAGGAAAAACTGTACTATATTACAGAAGACAACTTGAAGCTATAGGAATGTAATGAATAATAAGGTAACAAGCCAGAGAATGAAGCAATGCATTTTCTAAAAGCTTAATTTCAGAAAGTATTTCTCATTAATGAAAAATTTTTAGAAGTACATTCCACTGAAAGAATACTGGGCTTTTAACATGCAAAGACCTTATCTGTGTCTAAGTTTAGTTCTCTCATAGCTCAAATTCCTGTAAGCTTCCCCATCCTTACCCCTACAGGAAGTTAAATCCCATGTAATCAAGGAACAAGGAATAGAACATATATCGAAGACAAACCAAATAGCAATTTGATTTTCTCCTCGTTTTTATCTCAGATACACTAATCACTACTACTACTGAATACATGAAGCACAAGACTGACATTCTCCACTTTAATCTTGATAGATTTATAAAAATGAATACAAAATAAAAGTAGTTGTGACGTAATATGTAGTTCAACACTGATCTTCAACAAATGGGCTGAGACCTGTTAGAAGCTGAGTTGCACCTGTGCTACCACAATATTTATTTATTTATAAACAAACATAAATATATGTGTAAATATAAACAGAAGCGGGAGTTGCAGAGATAGCGAGAGGGTGCATTTACATGGTACACTTATTTAATCCTGGGCTGTAACAGAACAGTGGTGGCAAGATTATTCTTTTTTTATGAAATCACTATCCCTACCATACACACAATTGTCATTCACAGGGTTATTTAAGAAAACTGAATTATTGTTACAGCACTGTACCTTTTGCTCTTCAAAGGAAAAAAGAAAAAAAACAGAGAAAGATAAGGAAAGAGTGACACATACATTCAAAAAATAAAAACTGTCTCTGATATTTTAGGTTGGGATTAAAGGTGGATCTCAGATCTGAAAAGTCTACAAATGTCTAGCTTGGTGGAACATAAACACACCCAAAAACCTAGTCTTCCGCTACATGGTACCTCCAGATATTTTGCCCTGAAACACCCATCAGCCACAACCAGCATGGCCTATGGACAGGGGTGATAGGTGTTGTTATCCAAATACCTAGAAAGAAACAGATTAGGGAAGGTTGACCTAGCCAGACACCCTAGCCAAATTTGGGCATTTCTTATAATAGGAAAGATTTGTCGACATGTTTAACATTCCACTGAAATCAACAGTTGCTGAAATCCAAATTACAACTGCTGAAATCCTGCCTATTTTCTCTCCCCACCTCCAATGGAGTCCCTCCTTCTCCCACATTATTCAGCCCCAAAAGGCCATCTATGAAGGCTGGGGGACCTGCAGGATTCAACAGAGCAGAAGGGATGCAGCCAGAAGTGGAAAGTGCTATCATCTCCCATGTGTATGCATAACTGCTCTTTGCTCTTCTACAGAACAGCCTGGTTCCTTATCCATGAGAATATAATGCACTAAATGTTGCCTGAACTGCACCCTGCATCCCCTATTCCTACAAGAACTGGAAGATGAGAGTGTCATTCCAATCAATTCCTTCAGGAAAATGAAATCTTATTTGGATCTACCTGATCAAAAGGCATTTCCACTTGCACATCTTTGTCTTCTTTTACCTCTTGAGCTCCTTCAATTTCTTCTGGGGATTTTTGAGCTCTATAGACATTATGCTCTGAAAATTAGTAGAATTACTGAAGTTAGCAACTACTTAATCCCACACTGTGAAAAGCCAGTATAAATAAATTCTAATCACACCTAGGCTTAGCCAAAAAGCAATTCTTTTTTGCAGACAATTTTCTGTATAAAAGAAGAAGCCCCTCAAATAGACATCTAATACATTTCATAATTTTGAAAGGTTACATTTTTGCATTAAGGAACTTCAATAATAATAAACAAGAACTGAAATAGTACAGAAAGTTGCAAGGGTCAACTGATAAATAACAGAGACACTGCAAGTTATTAAATATCTAGCATTCATGCATAAAGGGAAAATGTAATTCTGGTATTATTTATACCTTTTAGCACCTCCTGATTTCTACACATCAGGCTGCTATAAAGGCACAAGAGCAGAGCAGGTCAGTTTGTCAATTGCCAAGTGTGTATCAGACTAATACTATATTGCATAAAACTGAACAAGGTAAAGGATAGGTTGACTCAGATGGCAAAAGAACTGGTGATGTTATGCTGTTACTGGCATTGACTAGAGAAGAGATGTGAAACCACTATGATTGTAAAGGATTAATGCCAGAGGGAAACTCTGTCACTGCAATCGTACAACTGCATCAGATGTTTGTATTGTGTTGTGTTCTTGTTTTCTGACAGGGATCCTCTTCCCTAAACATCTGAAGTAAGAAGTAAGTCAATGAAACTTTTCCTGGCAGATGTAGTTTGCCAGGAAAACTTTACCTATTGAAGTTTTGCTTTTTGCACCATTTTTGAATGTACAGGAGCTCTGGCAAAAAAAACCCCTCAATCCAGTCTATTCTTCTCCTTAACTCTTGGCACCAGCTCTCTACCACCTCAGCTTCAATCCAGATATTTACACTATAGATAAAATTATCTACATTTCCAATTCTATTTAATTTCCACTTTTTCTGTAATTTCCTGAAAAGTTCTACTTCTTCATGTATTAATAGCCGTGCTAGTGCTGTTGCTTATGGTTGGAACAACCTCCTCTTCTGTCATTCTACAACGATTAGCTAGTCAACTGCAGTCTAGAATCATAAAAACAGTTGCCAGCAATTCCAAGGGGGGTTTAGCATGGGAATAAGATTATAAACAGTCCAAGAACGAACCTTTTTGTATTCTGTACAATATAAACTAATAAATCTTAATGAGTCACAACACAGCATGTAATACAGCATTTAACATAACATATTGCTTGTGAGCAAAGGCCAGTACAATTCAATGCAACATTATCTGCTGTCCTAATAAGCCAATGGGAGCAACAGGCTGCTCAGTCATAATTACTGAAAATTCAGCCTCTGATTTAGATGTAAAACTTACACAGCAATGTAAGCATTTTACATTATGATAAAGGTACCTGGGGCTCATTTAAGGGGTATCCCAAGCGTATACAAGTTTAGAAGTTTAGTTATATTCCTATAACTAACCCTCTAAAAAATGGAAGGGATTTTAAAAAGAATTTGATTAGAACAGAGAGGAGCAGAAAAAAGTCTACAAGCACCATAGAGCCACAGAACTTTAGATCTTGGCTATTAATAAGAAAATAAGAGACATGTTTAATAAAATAAATGCCACTGGTATGCAAGTGCTTCCCAATCTATAATAAAAAAGAATGTCTGCCCATCTATCAGCTTCATGTCATCAAGATTATGAAACCTAGACATTTGAAATTTAGCATGCATACTAAGACCTTAGGGATATACATACACACAGGGTTATTTTGTTTTAAAAATCATGAATTCATTTTAATTAATTTAAATTTGTCCATGTGGTTAAAGCCTACAGAAACATCCTCAGTCACTTCAAACAGACTATACTAACCAGCAAATAGTTTTGCAATCCATACACTTTGAGGCCAAGAGAGGTTAGCAGGCTGAGGGGTGAAGATACAGGGCATGTCCTCTTCTTCCTGCTGAGCGGCAGCTTCCCCTTCAGGGAGAAATAATACATACATCCCTCCCTCAGGATATTTTAGGGGTAGCACCAGGCATGGCTTCATTCACACAAGTCAGGAACAATGTATCTAGTTCCGATAGCTGTGTAAATTTGCTTGAAGGCTTTAATACATCAAAGTAAGGACTATTTGACCTGTATGGAGCCATGTCCATTCATTAATAAAAAATACAGTTTTTGTTGCACTAATGCACAAGTTATAGAGTACAGATATTTAGGTTTAGATGTACACTTCCAAATCAAAGACAGAACAGCTGAGTATAGAAAAAACAATAAATCTGAATATCTAACTATGCAGTCTTAGGCACCAGATACAGTATTTTGTGTTACCATCAGCAGATGACAATGGTGTAGGAGCCGTTTCACGACTTGCCTTCTCGGGCTTTGCATAATAAACGGAAGCCCTATCTCCTGCACCTCGTTTTGATTGCTCGACCGGAGGGCAAATGCTTCCTTCTCGTTTTGATGATTCTATAGGAGGGTAAATGCTTCGTTTAGACAGTTCAATGATGGGAGGCTAACACAAGGAAACACAAATAACATCCAAATAGCTGGTCAATGTCGTTAAACTGGAGCAAACAACTGCTTACACAACATTATTGTTAATGAATCATAAAGTAATACAGTTTGATACAGAAAAAAAACTACTTTAAGCAGAGCTACCCGATTGAAATCTTGGTGCTTTGTTTTCCTTAGTTGTCCTAGGCCAGGGGTCAGCAACCCACGGCTCCGGAGCCGCATGTGGCTCTTTCATTCCTCTGCTGCGGCTCCCTGTCACTCAAAATATGCGATACAACCGCCAAAGTGCGATACCCACCGGCACGTGATTTATTGAGCTTTTCGACCCCTGCTAGGCCAACCATGGATAAATCCAAGAAAAGAAAAGTTTCAGAAGAAAACAGAACGTTTAATGGTACGTGGGCAGATTCATTTGCTTTCACTGCTGACGAGACTGGTTTACCAGTATGCTTAATATGTGGTAAGAAATTGGCAAACAACAAAAAGTCAAATGTTGCAAGACATTTCCAGAATCAACAAACAGCCTTTGCTTAAAAATATCTGGATAGAGCTGCAACACACTATAGTTTTTTTATACATGGCATAAAGGTAAAAAACGATATATGCAGTGTTATCTTCATTTTAGATGTCAAAAGGGTTTTGTGGCTCCTGGTGTTTTCTTTTCTGTGGAAAACAGGTCCAAATGGCTCTTTGCATGTTTAAGGCTGCCGACCCCTGTCCTAGGCCAATGCTGACTTGACGTTGTTGACCACTTCACTATGGTTCATTGCTTGGGATAGCAAGCAAATAGCAGAGCTCTACAGCCTGCTGGGAATTCATGGCTCAGAAAGGAGGAAAAGGTTGTTTCAGCCTGTTCCCACCAACACCTTCAGCTGGACCTGCATCTCTGCACAATACTTCAAAAGGGCTCATTCTGCGGCTGATAATTTCTCCATTATCACCAGAGAAGGGTTGTGCTAGCTACCGCTTACCATCTTAAAAGAAAAAGGGTGCCGTCCCTCTCCTTGTTAGCCCTAAACAGTGCTACAGAGATTCTATTTCAGGCTGGCGACTTACTTTCATTTGTCCTCTGGAAGAGAAGGGACTGAAATCCTAGGCACAGATTCCACACGCACAAGAAAGTGTTGCTAAAGAACAGTTTGATAAACTACCAAAAATCAACTAAAAACATTTTGGAAACATAAAAAGAGCCAAACACCCTACAAAGGAACAAGGTAAATCACTTTACTGATTTGGAAGAGAATAATGATTTATCCAAGAATAGTTCTAAGTACTAAGCTTAAAAGCCTCTCACAACTGAAAAGATAGACACTGCTGTCCTGTGCCCATCTTTTGGCCCAGGCAAATCCGGGCAAAACAATACAAAATGCCAGAAACAGTGTGAACTTTTATTGCCACCAATAAAAACTTCACAGATGTAAAGGTTTCACAGATGAGCTCCTTAGCACTCATGGGAGAAGCTTAATAGCTGCAATCCTCTCCAGAAATCATATGGCAATACAGAAATCATATGGCAATATAGAAATCATACAGCAATTAGGGGTTGTCCCAATATGTAATTCAAAGAATAGGCTAAAGATAGTATTTGTGTCAGAAATCCATACAACTTGGTTTTTAACTTGGTATTCTCTATGGGCCTGAATATAAGGCTGCAGGCTTGAATGATTCTGGAATAAACCATCCTAAGCAAAGACAAATTCAAGAAAAAGACCTAAGCAAATCCACACTTTTAGTCCAAGCTTGAAATGTTCATTAGTACCTCCATGTTATGTGGGTCACTTGCCTATCAAATTCAAGAATCAAAAGCTAGGTTCAAGAGTAAATCCAGTGTAAACTCATCTACACAGACAACTTGACAACAGCTTCCACTTTGCCAATGCATAGACAAATCCAAGAGTCACAATCAGTCCAAGCAGCAGACACTCTGAGCTTTCAAAATTAAAGATATGAATCCATAGCAAATAAGAATGCAAGGTCTATGTAAAAATATGACAACACCTTCTATGGCAGGTTCTTGATCAAACATGCAGTTCAGATTACACAACTCAAAATCCCCAGTGAGACGTGTTTCTTGAAGCTAAGACGGAAGGAAATCTCAAACCTGAAGTGTTACAGGCAGCATACAATGGATAATAAAAGATGGACATTAAAGATGATGTTCCAAACAGTCTCCCAGCTTGGGCACTGGCTTTAAAACAAAGGTGAGGCCATGTTGATACACCTAATGATTTAACTGCTGGGGGATCTTCACCCATAAATAAAGCCTATGCCAAAGAGGGTGATTCTTTTCTGACTACAGGAATTGGCATAGCAACCTGTATGACACCTACGAAGCAGGTGTTCCATGGAGCAGATGTTAGCTATCATTGTAGGTATGGCACTCAAGATTGACCACTAGCAGCTAGATGCAAGAGACTCACTCCCCTTCTGCTAGCTTCTTTGAGAAAATTGAGGGTAAGTTCATGTTTATTCTGGCATTCCAAAGATCAATTAGGCCTAAACCAGCCTCCATGCTTCCTACCATTGAAGAAATAGAGAGACACAGACAAATTCTTGAGCCCCAGGCTAAACTACTGAACTGGGCGCTATAAAATCTCAGACAAATTCTGATCAGGTTTTGACTGTAAACTAGGATCACCCTGATCTCTGTATAGTGTTACAGCTGCCACAACTCTGGCCATCTTGAGGGTAGGCATGGCTGCCAGTCCAGAATTTTCCATTCTTCCTTTGTGAGAAGGGCAGCCAGTTTCAGGTTGTCAAAAAGCAGAGTGCCAAAGCAAGAACAGGTACAGTGAACCCTATGAGAATCTGAACCATTATGCTTGCAACATTCCTCTGGAGAACTTTTCCAATGGAAGACAAGTCTGAGGATGCAAATGTATCAATTTCATAATGTTTAGGAATGACATGGACAATGACGATGTGGCTACTTTAGAGATCTGATCAGGAACAGCCTGTTCCTGTGGCTGGAGAGCAGCACTTGTGAAAGGGACCTCGGGGTACTGGTTGACTGCAGGCTAAACATGAGTCAGCAGTGTGATGCGGTGGTCAAGAGGGCGAAAGCCACCCTTGGTTGCATAGCCAGAAGTGTGGCTTCTAGATCAAGAGTGGTATTACTACCACTCTATATGACTCTGGTGCGCCCGCAACTGGAGTATTGTGTTCAGTTTTGGGCCCCTCATTACAGAAAGGATATAGCCAGGTTGGAGTCAGTGCAGCGTAGGGCCACAAGGTTTGCAGGGGATGCCGTATGAGGCGAGACTGAGGGAACTGGGTCTCTTCAGCCTGGAGAAGAGGATACTCAGAGGGGATATCTTGGCGACATACAGGTATGTGAGGGGGTGTCACACGGAGGTGGGCAGAGACCTGTTCTGCCCTGCAGAGGAAGGCAGGACACGCTCCAATGGAGCCAAGCTCAGGGAGCCAAGGTTGGATGCCAGGAAGCATTTCCTGACAGTCAGGACCCCGAGGGTGTGGAATGGGCTTCCACGGGAGGTGGTTGAGGCCCCATCGGTGCGGGTGTTCAAGGATAGGCTGGACGTCCACATGGTGGGCATGTCGTGAGCGGAGCCGGCTGGTGCCGGAGGTCAGACTAGATAGCCCGGGAGACCCCTTCTGACTCGCTCTGTTACTATGTTTCTATGTTCCCAAAATGCAGCTACAATAGAAGTCCCTCAGATGGAGTAAGTTCAAACATCCTCCAGAGTCAGGATAACAGATACTGAGTAAGCAAGCATTATACATTCCCAAGCTACCCAGCTAAGGGGGCTGTGAAGACCCTCTTTCCTGGATTCTATTTCTTGAAAGCTATGAACCGGGAGCTCTGCCGATGGAGGTTTGTATCTGTCAGTGCAGAACTTGTGCACCTGCATGCAACTAGGGCATGACATTTCCTTCTCAGAGATGTGGAAGGGCAAGGTCAGAAGGAGAGAAATAAAAATGCTTATCATCTATGAAAAACTAATTTGATCTTGAGAATTAATTTTGGGTCCAGATGGAGAATGACCGTGCCCAAGTGGAAAATGCAATAAGTTATTTTAGTTGCTGGTTCCCACATGTTACCACAATCAGAAACACTGTTTTTAAAAATAGCAACTTCGGTTCTACACCTCAAGTTTGCACATTGAGAAATGTGTTGTCCCTCCATGCCGATACCCTATAAACTGTAGAATCTCTGAAGCTCCTCATATGAAGCTTTCAGTGTCAGGATGGGAACCCAAAAGACTGTTGTCAGGACCACTCAAGATGGGGAGTACCAGCAGCTGGTACTGCAGAATGATGGGCCAGTAGAGAGAGAAATCTCTCTTGATGCTACCACCTAGTTTTGAAATACTTTGGCTTCTTGTTAGTGTAAGTGGCTTAGAGGAACGAAAGAGTTTTACCTGTTCATTGATGTCCATTATTCCCCTTTTTTACAGAATTGCAGAAAGCCATTTCATTTCCTTTGTCCTTTTACCTAATTGTATCTAGGTAATCACCAAGGTGTTTGTCTGTGAATGGAACATTGGCCAGGGCTGCCTTAGATTTTCACTGAACCCATCTGATCTAGTTCTGATTCAGAGTAAGAGAGGAATCTTATCCCTTTTATTCCTGAAATGGGAACTGAGGAAGAGTACAAACTTATTACGCCCACAGATTCTTCTGCCCGTCTGGACACTTCTTTAGTTTTCCCCTGCCAGGTGAGGTGCAGCCATGTCCCTAATGAAAAGAATGGGTTTTGCATAGGCCCTTTGCATGGAAGGGATTTCTATAGCAGGACTACCCTCTAGGTTTCTAATGTGGAAACGGGGGATGTATGTATGTTCTATGTTATCTGTCTCCAGCTCTGGACTAACTGTGTAGGAAAGAATGGTGTCTCTATAGTTTTTTGGAGACATTTCTTTCCACCTGTAGTATTCTCTGCTGGGAATACCCATCCAAGTTGGTCATTGCTAAATAGTGGTCAAAACTAACTTTGATCCACTGGACAGAAGCCAAGTGGATATTTTCATCCTTGGCTATGGAGAGAATATTTGCCACTTTTATGGCCTCAACAGCTTGGTTGAGGTCCAGGTTCCAAATTCTTACTTTTTGTTAGCCTACTCCTCTGAGGGGTGGAGAAGGGGGAAAGGATGTGGTTTTTTCCATACCGTTTTTTCCTGACACACAGCCAGGGTCCTGGCCTAGTATGCCTGGCCTGATCCGCTACAAGGTGTGCTGCACCAGGTTACTGGTTTTCCCCTCACTTCACTTTGGTGTGTCAAGGTTGTGTCTGTGCAATGGCAGCCCAAATGTAACCTGCTTTGGCTAAACTAGAAGAGATCCATGAGGAGATTAAAAGGCCAGAGGAGGTGAAGGCTAAGATGGGTCTTAATGCAGCAGCAAACCTAGTGCTACTTGAATGTTGTTATATTCTGCTTCTTTTTCAAGGCAGCAGACCTTTCCTGGCCAGAAAAGACGAGGAACTCTACCAAAAACTAGCCGACCATAATAGAAGTAGAAAGACATGGTGGTGCTGGGGAGCTTTTCAACTCCAAAAATCACAGTATTTGTCTTCCCAGTCATCAAGCAAGGGCTTATCAAATGCAAACTGGTTGAACAGCTCAGCAAATCTGCATGAAGTGCAGTAGCAGCTTATTCTGAAGTCAATCCATCTGTAGGCATAACAAAACTGAAGGCACACGCAAAAGCCATTTGGCTGTTTTCCCAAGTAAATCTCATCATTCAAGTGGGAGCCTACGTTCTTCATCACAGGATACACTTGTAATCAGAACATTTATTAAAATGGAAGACTGGCTATCGTTTGAACTCTGATGTAGCCTCTTTATGATCTTGACTGATGACAGGGAATGTTTCACATTTATTGCGAGATACTGCCTTGTCCCTGGAATTACTAATCTGAAATGTCAGCTCTGAAGCATCCATTCTTCTCTGAACTTTATGTATCTGGCTTAATGCATTAAACGGCTGTGTTTTATTAGTAAGTTCCTATGATCTACTCCCCTTCTCCCAACCTACTGAAATAAAAGCCTCTCTTTAACCTTATCTTTTCATCTGTGACACAGCTTCTCTTTAGAACTTACTACAAATGAGGGATTTTTTTAAACACACACACAGATACACACACAGTAATCTGTTCATGTCCAGTATGTAACATTTAGTCAGCTAAAATGTATGTATGCAAGAAACAAATAATCCAAGCATATATCATTACTTTCACTGAATTATAGAAATTTTACAATATAGGAATGGCATGTAAATAAATAATTTCTAGTTTTTTTCACTACTGTTCTATGACTCTTCCACTGAAGTATTATGGCTCTAGAACTTACACCAAACATGAAAGACGCAGATGAACAAGCCAAGCGTCAATCCAAAAAGCAACCTGATCTTGTGCTACCTATGCTATCATCATCTCTCCCCCATATGAATCAGGCAGACAAGCAAGTACTCCCAATAATACCATTTCATGCAACTATCACTACCACTGCATTCCTGGTTGCACCTTTGACAGACCCAGTGCCTCTATGCTGCATGGAATCTGGCTGTCAAATAGGCTTGGGGTTTGCTGAGGTCTAAGCGATGGTACACATATTTCATCTCAACTTGGAGGGAACAAACAGTCAGCAAAACCAGTATGTAAATCACAGCCCGTTTTTATTTTATATAAATGTCAAAAAGTTAATTGCTTTGGAATTTTTTTCCCATGACATGACTCAACGTCAGGAAAGAATATAAATGTACTTGTTTGCATTCAAACAAATAAAAACTGCAAATAGTCCTTTTGTACCATTTATGGGTGACTGGAAGAACTGGTAAGAATCACTGATACTTTCACAACTAGTCCTTTGGAATTAATACACAGCCTGATAAGCTGCTACAGATAACACATATTCACCTAAATTATTTCCATTTTTCTCATTATGAAATATATGCATATTTATGGAAACTTGCATTCGTAAATATTATTGCATAGAATTGTGTTATTTGTTTGATGCCTTGTATCCCTAGGACTGGGAGCTAAAGAAGAAAATGCAATAGTGCTGCTTGTACATTCTTGTGGGAGCCTTCTTACAGCACAGCACCATAGTAAAGCAAGGGCTGAACTACAATGTCAAAAACTATGAATAAGGAAAATTCCGTAGCCACAGAAGATCTTGATAATGGACTCATATAAGGATTTACATTAAGAGTTAGAGTAAGCTGAACAATTCCTCTGAGTTTGGGGTCAATTTTCTCACACAGCACTTAAATGCTAAGTCAGAAATAAGTCATAATAGGCTATATGCTAAAGTGCAGCATCTTTTAAAGGCTATACAGCTTTTCCTACAAACTCAGTCAGAATAGGATAAAGTTAGACAAATGTTTGCAAGGAAAACTGATTCTTTTTAACTTGAGCAAATAGGATAGTGGTACGTTAGTATGGGAAGATCAGATATGGGAAATAGGCACAAGAAAATGTGCACATAAAATGTTTTTCTTCTCACATTTTATTTCTTCTCATTATAGACCTTTCTGAATTCAGGTAATTTCCAGAACTAAAGGATTCACTCAGACGAGAAATGGCCCAAAGCTAACAATAGAGAAAACTGGTTAGCACGACAATATAAAAACATCTGAAGGTATTTTTAAAATAATTGTTGTATTCCTTCATATTTGCAAATTATCCATTACAAGGAGGCAAAAAGCTGGGATCAAACTTTTGAAATAAATTCATTTGTAGTTCATATCTCATATTGTTTCTACAGAGGTTTTGCAGGGAAACACAGAAGGGGAAATGCACTGTATGTCATATATTTCAAGGTACATGGAGAACAGAGAGACCACTCTAATTATATTAAATTATTTTATATTTTATATTTTTATTTATTTTATATTGTTAATTTTAATTTTATATTGTTATTTTTGTATTTTATTGTGTTTGTAAGCCGCCCCGAGGCTTCGGCAAGGGGTGGCATAGAAATGTTCTAATAATAATAACAACAACAACAACAACAACAACAACAATAATAATAATTTGCACAGCTCCACATTTCGGTTTTCAGGTGCCCAGCCTGATTTTTGCAGGACTGCCAGGTAAAGACTCAGTGGTCTTTGCTGAGGCAAAACGAGCAAAGCGAGTGCCCATCTGTGGAGAGAACTTGTGTGCCACAGTGGACACATTTCTGGAAAGCCACCTTGACAGCCATCGGGGAGAGGTAAAAAAAAAAAAGATAAGTTGGAAAAGGAGCAGGTAAAAAGGGTAATGAGAACTGACAGGAAATATGTTCGAGTAGTACGGTAAGTTTTAAAGGTTTGAAAATTTCTAGAAAGCTGAGTTAGAACACAGAGAGCTAGGAAGTCGAGGAACTCAGACAACAGTGGGAAAAGAACTGGGGAAAATGGCAGGAGCCCTTCCTATTTATACTAGAGGGAGAAGGGGCAGAGTTCCCACCAAAGGTTTAGCTCAGCTGGGAAAATCTTCCGAACTACATGAGGGTGTAAAGCCCATGTGTGTGATGCACAGAGACCATGAGACCACTACAATTTCCCTTCTCCAGATGTTTGGGATTTTCAAGAGAAACGCCAAGCAACACAAGCTCTCCAGAGGACTGTTTCTCAACCACTAAGAATCTTCCAGCAGCAGTGACTGCAGAATGCACGAGATTCCAAGTAAACATACACACCCCTGAAGAAAACTTGCATTAAGAACCTTGCGTGGAAAACATTATTTTACCTGAACTGTTAATGGCAATGATCAGGACGCAAACAACTGCTTTAGGAAAACTTTGTGGGTGCAGGATATTTTGTAGAGATGGCTGGTAGAGATGCCTATCGAGTTTATTTAACTTTTTTTAAAAGGAGTGCCCCCTCTCATATCACTACCTGGAATAAAAAGCCCTTTCTGTTGTAAAATGGTTTGCCTTGTGGGCCCGTGAGCTGGAATGCTTCCCACTTCTATAAGCACATAGACAAACTTTGTTTTAGCGCTACAACTAGTTGCATGCCTTTTCTGGCCGAGCCACAAAATTCACAGCTTCTAGAACATGGATTGCTCATGCGGAGCTCCATTTCAATTCCCAAACTTTGGAGTGGACCCAGGATTGCAACCCAATGACTGCTTGGATCAGGAAACTTCAATTAATTTAATTTTTCCAGTTCAGCAGTAGAAAGCCATTGAAACTACAATGCCAAAAAAGTTGTGACAGCACCATTCAGATCTATCAGGATGCCAGAAAGATTATCTGAAGTCATCAGATTGCATACAAATTCAGAATTCTTACCTTTTTTGCAGGAGGCTTTTCTGGAGGCCCAGGCACGTTAGAAAAATTCCTAAAATGTAAGAAAGAATTTACTTAAATATTTATATGAGTAAGTAGGTTAATGTAATGGTAGCAAAGGCATGCTAGCGTGACAAGACCTTCTCCCACCTGAAACCCTCTGTCTTACCTGAAGAACTGATTCAGAGGACTCCAAAGCATATTTTACAGGTGTATGGAGGGCTGCAGGGAGGGAAAATCAGCTATATCCGAGTTCAACTCACAGAAGTATGCCAGTGGATATAAACAATGATTGCCATGGTAAAGATACTCTAAGGAAAATCCCACTGTAAAGCCAATGCATTCTGAATTCATATAGTAAACTGATACTAATAAATACCATGTTTTCATATCATTTGTAAAATATATTATATAATACCTAACTACACTGCTCCACCTGTGCTGGCTCTGTGATGCTCACAGCACCCACTGTTTGCACTGCTTTGACCTTCTAAACATACCTTCCAAAACAAGTGCAAAACTTGCTGCTGGATTGGGCCAGGTTAGAGGTGCTCCTTTCTGCATGCTTCTTATACCCACTTCATTCCAAAAACAACAGGTCTGGGTTATGTTTACAGTCACAAAAACCCTGTTGTGATCACATGGGCAGAATAGGGTAGTTCCCTAAGAGCAGTTAAGACATGTAGACATTTGTTTATGCTTACTTATCTTCTTAAAATCATAACCCAGCTTTCTGCCTAGGCATTAGTTAAGGTGGCTCACAAGGTAAAAAGTTACTAGTGTCTTTCCAATCCATTTATAATTTTACTTCTAGCATGTCCTTTCCTCAAGCCTACACACTAACTATGGATATATTTCAAGTAATAATCGGACTCACACAGATAATGTCATATATTTGGTAAGATGTTTTACGCTAGCCTAGAAATGGGTAATCCAGTTCTCTGTGAGTAAGAAAGAGTGGCCCAGTTAGGAAGATTTGTTTCTAAAGGTTCATGGACCCAAATGAGTTCAAAAACATGTTGAGCCTGAAGTCCCAACCAGCTCTCCCAATGGCGTACTGAGTGAAGGACTATGGCCTCTTAGCATGAGTCTTCCGATTTCATTTCACTTCATATCCCAAGTGCACAAACTAGGTAACATTTTTATTTCAACTGCTACATTCAACCATTCCATTCTGCTTGAAAAAGTACTTGGTGATATCCAATGACTTCTACAAGCTGGATAATTTGGTTCCTCTTTACAAGTTATGACCCTTATAATGAGGTAACAACTTATCCTTCCAGTTTCCCAGAGCTACAACTGACATGTCTCATTCACTGGATATTTACCCTATTAGCTACTTAAACATTCCCCACCATCCCCTGCCTCTGTCCACATTTTAAACAGCAAGAAGCTCTCAAGATGTAAGGAAAATGTGTCTTGCATGATTTTGAATATATTTTTAATGACTAAATACTCTTCTTTTAAAGAGAGAATTTAATGAGAACTGACTAATGTTTAGCTACTTCTTGGACCACTATTGGCTGTGATGTCAGAAATACTTTCTACCTGAAACCTATCTGCTGTTATTCATTCTATGGGAATATTTTCATCAGCAAAAACTTGTTATATTTATTTAAACTAGACTGCTGTCTTCATGGATCCTGTCCTGCCTCATCATTATAATTTCAAGGCAATTTCTAGATGTAGCTGAAATAAAACCTTTTATTTTATAAAACCATTCATTCTTATCTATGGGCTTAAAATTGTCAAGCTTTAGGTAGCACAGCTATGCAGTGCAATCCAGGAAGCTAAGAAGTTCAGAGCTCATGTATCTAAAGTTGTACCCATAAAAGCTGGGCACTTGGATACAATCCTAAGTATATAAAGCAGTAACCATTATTTTAATAAACAGACAAAAAGAGAGGATGAATAGCCATTATTGATATGTATCTATATCAATACCTATATCAAGATAGTAATTAATGAAAGGGTGGGTAGGTTTCCAAGTCACCAGTCACCTGATGTATTTTATTAAAAGGAATGTGATAAGAGTCTAGGCAGAAATATCCTAACAAAATGATCTCAGTGACCTTCAGGGATGGACATCTTCAACTAAATCAGAGCAAATGGAAATACATTAAAGTATGCACTGTGACAAGTCTTTCCTGAAAATGAGATGCCCTCAGCTCCAACCCCTAAGCTAGGAGGAGTGGAAGGCATTGCGAAAGCACATCAGTAAAATCAAGTGACATTGAACCTATGACAAAAAACTACAACCTTGGAAAATTAGGTTGGGAGATGAACACTGAGGGAATCTATCTCACCCAAACCTAACCGGAGCATGTTTGTAAGCAGAAACAAAACCTGATCTAGAGACCAAGAAAGCAAACACTAAAAGATAAATATTATTATATGGTGGTAAGAAAAACTAATCTGCTAACTATCAACTTAAGCTGGATATTCATGCAAAAAATGACAAGTAACATTATTAGTGGAACAAATAATGGACTAAGGATGGACCACGAATGGAGAAGATCTGCATAACTGAAAGAATTCAAGACGGTTTGGTTAGGTGAACAGACTTTCAAAGATTCTGAAGATGTATAAATTTGAAGAGAGGAATGATATACCCTCCCAAGCAGAGCAAACGAAGGGGGATCATACAAAAGGAGAACACACATCAGAGACATCGAGAGTGCACTTTCAAAGTGCATCGCAACGATCCTGGCTAAGATGGAATGAGTAAGAAATCTCCTGCATACTGCTTTGAGCCTGGCAGTTCTAGTCTTCATCTCAGGGTGCTGAAACCTCAAACAGGAGAGCGGCCCTAGCCAGGCTATACCAAGGCATGAGATAATTGTGCTGCACTGAGCTTTCAATTTAGTCAGCAACCTACGTTGTCCTGTCAAACCAAAAGCTCTGGAAAGAAAGCCAGCAGCCAGAACAGCTCAGTCCCATTGTTCGATTCTTTCAAGAACGGAAAAAGTGGAAGGCAGCACCAAAAGGCAAGAAATAGGAAGGGAACTTGGTGTGTTTCATTCACTTTAGCAGAACTAAATTCTGTTTTAAAAAGCTGCAAGTCATCAAGATTATCATCCACATTCTTATCTTAACCCAAAGAAAGATCAGGGGTTGGCTTAGGCATAAACCCAACTTTCAGGACTTCTTGGAACATAGCACCACATCAATGAAAACAACATGAAGACTACACTTACCGCCGAATATATTCTGGAACTCTAGGATGCTGCCAGTATGGCAAAGGTTGAAATTTTTCTTTACCACATCCAACATAAAATTGGTTGTCTTCTAAATCATCTGGTCCTTGTACACACTGGCCACTTAATGTATACAGCCTTAAGCAAAGCAAATGGACAAAAGTAAGTATCTCATTCCTATCAACAGAACAGACTTGGTAGCATGGTTCCTGATCTGTAGTATACATTCTAGCTGGGCTTTTAATATTGTGCTTTAAAGTAATTCCCATGATTTCTAGAGAAACTGTATACTGATGACTTCACTTTTCAACTTGTTTTTTACTTGTTCCCTCATTTTTCTTAGAATTTTCCTCTTTTGGAGTCAAGCATGGCTGTGTTGGACTTCTTGGTAATTCATCACTTTCATTTTTGTTGAATTTAATAGTACCAGTCACTGTAAACCATACAACTGGACATTAATCACACTAAAAAGAAACTCTCCTTAGAAGTATTTCCACAACTGGCAAGGAGTTGCTTTCTATATACACATTAAATATTAAGACTATTAACACAACACTTTCAGAAAGAGCAAGCATTTAGAGTAACAAAATCACTCTCCTTTGGTAGATGGATTATATTACTAGATGCATGGCTTACCTATGAATGCCCCCAGAACGAGGACATACTTTTTCATTTATCAGTCCCAGAACACTGTTCCAGCTTTTCAATGTAAACTTGGGTATAAGAATTTTAATAGGTGGTATCAACATTTCTCCATTTGTGAAAACGCTATGAAAAGAATGCACAAAAAAGTGTTTTTCAGTAAGGAACATTATTCAAAAGAATGTATGTGAAAATCAGAATGGCAAGAAGATGTTTCATTTAGGATCCAACTTAAGACTTTAAATCTTAACCGATTTGGTAAAATACTGAAACTCATCAGATAGTATTATACATTTTTAAATACTGCCATCTGACATGATGGGGAATCAAAAATGAAATGCTTCCAGTTGCAGAACCCAAGACAGATATCACTATCGAAATTTCAATTTCTTTCTTTCAAGGAGACATGGAACCACAACAGGACTATTGCTGCAATCTTAAGTAAACCGCCCTGGAAGTTAAGTCAAAATGTGTTGTGTGTGTGCACCGTGCTAAGGTAGCTGCGCATGTATAGGCAGCTGCCTGTTTCAATGAAAACTCAAACTCAGATAGAGGGGAGGAGATTGTTGTGAAATCTCAGCATGGCCAAGCAGTAGACCAAGGTCAGGGAATGACTGAGAAGATACACAGAGGAGCTGGCAGTTCAGTCTGAGGGAATCCTGGATTGAGCTACCTGTAGGAATAAAAAGACAGAACAGGAGGAGATGTTGACAGTTTGGGCTGATGGGAGCCCTGGTCTACCAATCCATGGGAAGGACTTGGAGCCAGAGGTTGGACATATCACACAGCAGGGGAGTGGAAGAGAGAGCTCAGTAGTGTGTCAGACGTAGAAGCTCCTCCTCCTGAAGAGATGGTGCTGGTCACTAGGAGCCAGCACTGGCAGGAGGTTCCACTGGATGAACTATTTCACATCATCCTGCTACTTGGAGCAAGACACCGAAGGAGTATAAAACACAAGGGAATGATTGATATTAAAGAGGGCTCAACATTTTACTCTGGCTGAAACTCAGAGGTATGTAGCAATAAAGTCTATTAGAAAAAGAAGTTCCAGAGCAGCGTGTTTATGCAGGAGGTGGACCCCAGTTCACGACAAAATGAAACCAGGAGGACTTACTGTTGAATAAGTAAGGCTGGCTGCAAAAGCCTTACTATAAAAAAAAAAAAAAAAAAAAAAAACCCACGGATAAATTGAAAACCAGCTTGTGCAGGACCACACACCTCTACATTTTTTGTCATGTTACGCATGCATGAAGGGGCATTGTCTATGAAATGAAGTGCCAACATATGCAGTAAAGTAACAAGACATGCTGAAAACAATTTTTCTGAGCACTGACTGGCTGGGGCATGCTGGGAAGAGCAGGACTTTTTCTGTCTAACCATACATAGGATTGTGCCTTTAGCTGTTTTACTTTCTTAGGCAAAAATAATGTGAAATATTCCTTCACATTAAAAACGGAACAATATAGTTGACCTATTGGACGGTTGGGAAGAATATTACTACAGCAGGGTATAAAAATGCTGGAAGATCCAGCTATTTATACTTAATGCTAGCAAGCTTCCTGCTTTCACATCCTACACTATCCATGCACCACAGGGAATCAATAGAACTATTTGCAGCAAGAGTAGACTTGAAGTGCAATGTTCGCTAGGAAAAACATTTAAATATCATTCCTAGTATAGTAACACACCCGAAATTACTCATAAACCACTTAGATGTATCATACAAGTCTGGTCTCAAGCCAAATATTTATGTCTGGCTTTTTTTTTTTACTGCAAACTTGTAAAGCAATGAAGGCTGTTTTCAGAGGATATTTGGAGCCACCTAGTGGAACTTTTGGTACACAGCTATCAAAAGTGAATCCTACATTGAAATGAAAATCTTTATAAAATATATGGCAGCAATAATAAATATAAAACATGCAAGGATGGTTCTTATTGTTCTTTCCAGCTAATGACCCCCTAGCCCGTGTTCCCCTAAAGGACTGGGTTCACAGCTTGGGGGGCTCCTAGATTCAAAACTCTCACTTGAGTCCCAAGAAGACTTTGGTGACCAGGAGCATCTTCCTTCACCTGCGGCCAGTTTATCCACTACGGCCGTATCTGGATGGACAAAGCCTAGCCACAGTCACACATGCCCTGGTATCCCAGTTGGACTACTGCAATGCGATCTACGTGCGGGCCACCTTTCAAGGCGGTTGGGATGCTCCAACTGGTTTAAAACAGGGCCATGAAACTTTTAACAAGTACCAGTTCATTGGCCCATATTACACCAGTATTTTACCATATATACAGGCTACCAGTGAAAGTCTGGGCCCAATTTAAAGTGCTTATGCTTACATATAAAGCCCTAAATAGCTTGCGCCCTGGGTACCTAAAAAATTTCTTTCTCCCATATGTCCCTACACATATGCTGGGATCAGCCAGGAGGTCCTTCCCAAGGAACCATCTGCCAGGGAGGGGAGGGGGATGGCATCTAAAAGAAGAGTCTTCTCCATGGGTCGTGCCCCATATCTAAAATAGGCTCTCCAGTGTGGCGGGTTGGCTGGGCCAGCCAGTCAACCTCGGCAAGCGGCGCGAGAAAGTTTAAAGAAAGAAAAAAAGACTGCAGTCCAGAAATCAGTTACAAAGCATGCTCGGTTTAGTTGCAGGGGGAGAACAGCAAAAACTTCTTCCCCCAAGGTTTTTTCTTCTCTCTTCTTGCTCTCTTTTCCCCCCTCACCACCGGCATCTGCTTTTATTACTTCACACTTTTTACCTAGGCATTTGAATACAGCCAATTAGCCATCGTACACAAGCAGCCAACACCTTAATGCTTAGGTTACAAGCCTTATATGGTTACAAGCCTTATATGGTTACAAGCCTTATATGGTTACATAGGTAAATTACAATACTCTTGGTCTTCGTGTGGTACGTGAGTACAGCATGACCCAGCAATGAATTCCCACACTCCAGAGAGATGTGACTGACACCATCATTATCATTTTGGCACCAGGGGAAGTCATCTCTTTTCTTTGGCAATTTTGATTTTAGCGGCAATGTTGACCCTATTTTAATAGTTTTATTTTAATTTTAAGTTGTTTAAAATTTTGTGTAATTGTTTTAATTTATTGAATTATGCTTTGATATGCTTTGGTATGCTTTGTTAAAGCTCCAGTGTTTTTTTTAAAAAAATTATGTGGTTTTGTTTGTGAACTGCTCAGACAGTCCAAGTGGGGGGTAATGAAGCAGCACATAAATTGAAATAATAAATAAATAACCAAATCTTTAAAACACCACTATCACTGCCCTTTGTTTCTTTATGCATCTCAGAACTTTGACAATCTAAGATTTATGTCAGGGTTAACTAGCACTATTATGTATGTGATCCTTGCTTATATAAGTCCAAGAAAGCAGAATAAATAGAAGTAGTTTGAAGCTTAAAATACAAAACACCATGCAAGCCTTGATTCAAAGTTTCCTTTCTAATATTCTGCCAAAAGTATCATTGGTCTCTAAGCTCAACCTCAGTTACCCATGCAAGATCCATGACACTTCCTTACAAAGGAACTAAAGACTTAAACTTGCACTTCTCATACACAAGGAAACCATTTTTTGTACTTATGTTTATCCAGAGCTTCCTCTGGAGCTCAGGGAAGCAGGCATGGTTTTCTTTCCCTCTCCCCACAGCAATCCTAGAAGGTTGAGAGAAATGACTGCTCCAACATCATCAAGTACAATTCACAGTTGAGCAGGGACTGGAACTCAAATCCCACCAGACCCAAATAAACACTAGAATCATCTTTACAGTTTTCTTTTTCAACTAGACATAGATTATAACTGAAGCTTTGTTAATAATTTATACAGGTGTTAAAAGTTTTAAAACCATACACTTACTTAATATTTCGAGGCTTATTATAGGACGATTGCCATTTGGAAGGTACTTTTATATTACTGTGGACCACTGGTCGAATCTGAAAAAGCAGCAACACAGATTATACAATTTTTTTTTAAATGAACTCATCCTTAAAGTGGCAGGATTTATAAGATAAAATAATTTATCCATGTTTCTGTACTCATTCAGAAGTCCAACAGAAGTGTTGAATTTGGAAAAATCTACCAGAATCCTATAGGTCAAATTCATCTCTCCTTCTGCTTCCTAAGATACTGTCACAACTACTAGCAAGGCTAAATCTGCCAAAAGAGTGTCAGTCAGAACTATGAAATGTCCTCCTTCAGAGCTAAATGTGGAAAATCCACAAGTTAAATTGTGTACTTGTGAATTGTGTACATGTTAATAGCAGCTGCTGGGAAAGGGGGAGATTCAGACTGGGAACTACAGCTCTGGCAACATGAAGAGGTTAAGACTTGTCCCCATGGTGCTTTCTTGATTAAAATCTCCCAGAAGCAGCCGCTTTCTCTTTCATGTAAACTTATGGGATCATGTGAACACCTGTACATTTTGCCTTGCAGGAAAATAGCAGCTTGGGGGGGGGGGTTAACCTGTGCTTTGCCAGAGTCACGGTCCTTCAGCTGCTGCTAACAACGTGGAAAACTGCTTTCCACCTTGGGGTGGCCTAGCTCTTAAGAATTCCATGGGGAATGAGCTGCTTTGAAGTGAAGGCAGCCTTCTAGGCAATTAGAAAAGCCCCTCTGGTTAAAATATAGGAGACTAGAGACCACACCTCCCATCCGCCCAGCTTCAGCTCAGCCGGGCATAGGAATCTCAGAAGTCTCTGAGTATGGGACGCCCTAAATGTATGCCTTTTGTAGCAAGTTGCAGTCTGCAGGGCTCTAGTTAGAAACAGAATAGATCCAGCAAGGCTGAAGTCTGCACATAAAAGGGAGCATGCCTCTTCTCATTTAATCAGAGTACAACTCCCGTACCTGCCCGTTGCTCATGCAGGCTGTAACTGAGTCCAACAAAGCCTGGAGAACCATCATGGTTGTATATAACATACAAAACATTTTGATAAATTCAGGATGGCTAAACTTTGTAAAAATTGGAAGTAATGTAATGTCAAACGTGCCTTGAACTTGTCTTTTCAAATTAGCTTGATAAATGAAAGGCTGATAAAACTAAGCAACTGTTTCCTCCTGCCAATTACTGAAAATGGTACTGATTACTCACCACTTCATCCTTCTTCTTTCTTTGAGGTCTCTTTGCCCCTATGTTGTAGTAACTGAAGGAAAAATATAATTAGATTAAACCATTTTAATTCAACACCTTTTAAACTTAGTTAAACATTTTAGTCTAAAACAGCATATCGAACCGTGCAACAGTTCCCTATTGCGTGGGAGCCAAGAGTGTACAGATTCTCTTATTCAATCCAAACCAACACAGAGCGGAGACTACTGCAACAACAGGTACAGACATCTGACCACAGAAGTGCTACTGGTTTTGAAGACTTGGGGTAAGAGATGAAGGCAGACATGAAAGTCAGTACAAGCCCATTTGGTGTTTCCATCAGCTACACAGAAACTGAACGTTTATTTTATAAAATAAATTCATCTACTAAAGTCCACACTTAATACCATTCAGATTTTTCACATATGGCTATTTCACAGAAAATCCTTAAGAACCAACAATAATAAAGGATGTGATAAAGTCACAGTACCTTACTGCACAAATAAATATAGTTTAGATCACAATCCTTCTGCTTGTTTTAAATGTACATTCTACTTCATCATTTTCAACTCTGCGGCTTTGTCAGTGCCAGTAACCTACAACAAGACTTACTCATTTCATATTTACTCCAAATGTACTGAACTCTCTGACGAGCAAGGAAATGGGATTTTATGTTCTCTGCCTCAAACATGAAAAGAAATGAATAATAATTCATTTGATACAGCAAGAGCTACAATCAGCTCTTTAAGTATTTCCAAAGAGGCATGCACTATTAGTAATTCTGATGCACAAGCAGAAATCACAGATCAATTAAAACAACTATTATAAACGGTGAATTATTTAATTAACATAATATTATCTCAGCCTATCAAAAGCCATCTAAGCAGATGAATTTAATGATTGGCATACTAATTCCAGCTTCTTGATACAAAAACAACAAGTTACTCAGTGATATTGCCTTACTTGATTAGCTATTTGTTAGTTAGAAGGCATAATTGTATTGAAAATTATTTCTGAATTACTATTTTAAAAAGAACTGTGAAAAATGAACTGGATGTTTGCTTACAGTCATGAATATTATTGATAAATATGCTGCTCACAGAAACTTGTGGCTAGTCATAGAGACAACCCTCAAGTTCCAGGTATATGGACGTAAGTGGATTCAAACAAATCTCTGTTCAAACAAGTTTGGTTCTGCCAAAAAACCCTTGTTAATTCTGTAACTAATTACCAATCCAAAACTTCCCTCTTATTCCAACTTCTGGTTTCTAGACTTCTTCTTGTAATACGAGGACTGCCTGTACATTACCGGGGTGACAAGAATTGCTCAACCGAAAAGCCACATATGGTAAATGCCAGGTGTTTGGGAGCTGCAAGTGGTTGCCCGCAGGCAGTGCCTCTTGGTGGCAAGCAGCAAGTGGGTGCCCACAGGTGGCAAACTGCAAAATAAACTCAAAGAGCTCAAGCCTCAGTATGGCCCAACCCTGGTACATTATATAGCATTTCTTTGTAATGTGATATGGACCCAAGATATCCACAAGTCAACTCTTCTTATTTCGATTTACTTTTTAAAAAATCCCCTGTACAAAATCAGAATGTCATTGTTCCTGTGCTAAAGTAGCACTTTTAAGCTATCAACTGTTATTTCTAAAACACATACAAACAATTTTTCCCTATTTGCTGGAGTATTCTTAAACATGTCTGCATTCTTCATCAATGCTGTTCCAAGATGCCATGGTTTAAGTATGCATTCAAAATGAGGCCATCTTTCATCTGCTCTAGTAAGCTCTAACATGTACTAGTTCACTAAAGTTACAGCCCTATGCCCAGGTATTTGGGACTAAGTCCTACTGATCTTGGAGATATTTAACTACAAGTAAATTAGCACAGGACTGTGAGGAAGAACCTTGGCAACCATATTAGTTAATTAAATAACCTTCGAGGTTATTTCCTACTCTCTGATTCTATAAAAAAATAATAATCAATACGTTACCACCTTGAGATAACCATGGGCAAGTTATCACAAATTAAACATTGGCATCCTCAAACTTTTGCAATAAACATAAGCAGTCACTGGAAACTTACATAAATATGTCTCTGCTCAACAAGCAGTTTTTGCCATTGGCCAAGTGACTGCCAGACCAGTCACAGCTAACTCTTTATATGGGCAAACTACTGCCTCCTTGCGATTCTGCTCCCCATTTGCCATATAATGGTTCAGAGGCAAGGGAGCTGTGGACAAAAGAGCTGTGAAAGATCTTCACTGGTTACCAATTGGGCCCCAGGCCCAATTCAAGGTGTTTGTGTTGACATATACAGCCCTAAACAGCTTAGGGCTCAGTTATCTTAGGGAGTGCCTACACATGCCTACCCAGCCTTTGAGATCTACACAGGGGTCCCTTCTGTGTGAGCCATCCCTTAAGGAGGAGGGCCTTGTCTGCAGCTGCTCCCAATATTTAGAATGCTCTCCCCAAGGAGATTCCTCTGGCACCTTCCTTACTTTCTTTTTGGCACCAGGCAAAAACCTTCCTTTTCAAAAATATTTTAATAACTAATGCCATAAAACCTTTGTTTTGTATTTTCTGCTTGTATCTTATTATTTTATTTTTAATGTGTTTTTGGTTTTAATTGTGTTTTTACTGTGTTTTTATCTTGTAACTGTGAGTTACCCAGAGGTGCTGTCGCACAATTGGGCGGCATACAAATGTTTTAAATAAATAAATACATAAATAAAGGGGCAATTGGCCACACCCCTTTGTAGCTCTCTTCCCAGACTATTTCTCAGCTTAAGCGGAAAAAGACAAAATGGGAAGTATTTCTTCTTTGCACGCCCTTCTGAGTTTCCGGTGTGCTCCCTTCTTATTCAAGAAAAAAGGAGAAAGAAACACAAGGCCAATTTCCATATTTCTTAGATCCATTTAAGCAACTAGAAAAATCCAGAGGAAGATGGAGAAATAAAGAAAGACAAAAGGAGGAAGCAGGACTGTCAATACCTCTAAAGGTTCACTTTGGAATGAAGATGCACCAGTAGAATAGGCTGGACACAAAATAAGAATAATTTCTTGTGAAAGAATCTCCAACCATTCATTCATTCATTCATTTATTTATTAATTAAAACATTTTTATGCCGCCCCATTCGCCAAAGCCTCGGGGCGGCTCACATCATCTTATCTATTTGGTGCTCTTCTACCTAGGCAAGCCTTGAATGACTTCATTCAGTGCTTTCCAGTCTCAGCAAGCCATGCTGATCCTATACTTTCCTCCTGGTGGACCAGAAATGAAAGGTCAATAAAGGTACCAGAGGATACACAAAAGCTTTAATTTTCTAGTACTATTTACCAGTTTGTGCACTAAGGTGCCAAGTCCCAAAGGCATCTGTATGTTATACAGCAACTTCATCCTGACGAATACATGGAAGAATCTTGTTCCAAAAGGATCTTGTAAAGTTTTACTTACAAAAACCATCTATTTTTAGGACATTTTTGCACAATTTGGATACACTGGACAAGATTTTTGTCACCCAAGTTCCTCTTGACTGCATTTGTTCAATGTACGCAACCTTCCATTGGATGAAGTGGACAGAGTCCACAAAAGTATACACTATTAAAATGTCTGTTGTTCAGGGGTCAGAAGATTCTTCCTTGTTTTGCCACAACAGGCTAACATTCTACCCCTCTGTAAATTGCTACTTACTTCAGTTTCCTAAACTTTTCCCTGCCAGCAGCCACGTATCTGCCTCCCTGCTCCAAATCAGGAAGGTCCATAACGGAATGCCCATATCGGGGCGTGTATAGATTCCTCACTCCAAAAGGTGTCGGCACACCTTCATTCAGCTGTATCATGAAGGCTTCAAAGTTGGGCACATAGCGATGATTGATGATAAACTTCCTCCCCAAATAGTAGGGGTCCCCATTCCGGTACACCCAAATGGTCCGGGCAGGAGTTGCATCTGTCAGGCTGTAAGCAGCACGCGGCCGCGTGGCTCCCCCCATGCCGAACCCACCAGCTTAGACAAAGGGACGGGGAAGGGGCAGGAGAGACGACCCGACAGTGCATCCAAAAGAGAGGCGCAAAATGAACCGGCTTCAGAGCCTGCCAGACCGCCTCCTGCTCGGATGGTAGACCTGCTTCTCCAGCCTCCTACTCCATAGTGTCACCACAGCGGGCACCCCCCCACTGGCCCCACCCCTAAGGCTTCCGAGGGGCAGCTGTGCCTCTCCCGACTTAGCCTTGGGCCCCCCAGAGGGCTGGACGTCACCTGAAGGGGGCGGATTGTGACTCACCGTCCGCAGCAAATAAAACGGCTCTCTGCAGGGTGCGGGTGCGCAAGGCCGCTGCCCTGGAGACGGATTAAGCAAGGCGAAGCGGGGCTGCGCGCAATCCCGAGGCTTGGAAAGGAGGGTGCAGCTCAACATCAACCCTACTTAGCCTTAGACCCATCGGCGCGGGTGGGGCTCAAGGAGGCGGAAGCCCTATTCATGTCGATGGACCTGCTCTGATGTTGGATTTCGCCCCTTAGTTCCACGGCGGTGGCTTCCCCCTTTGCAGCATCGACGGCGTGCTCCGCAGCGCCATCCTTTAGCAGAGGAGTGGCTAACAGGTAGCACGACCGGCCCAGACTCCCAAGTTCCATCTCCATTAACCGGAAGCTACCGAAGCTTCTCTCTCTGACACTTTTCAAATCGCAAAGTTATTATTTAAAGGGGGGAAAAAGTCGCTCAGCAGCACTTCTGGCTGGTGGCTGCTGCCTCAAGTAGCGCCACGGCTCCGCTTTCTCTTTCTCCCGCTCCTCCCCAGCGGAGCGCCCACCTTTTCCCGCCGCTTTTCTTCGCACATTGCTCGGCTCAGCGCAGGAGCAGCGCTTCGTGCTCGTTGCATGTGCTGCGTTTCTGCAAACAAAAGCGGACTGTGCTTCTCGCCTTCGGGGAAGAACGGGAAGGGCTTCACTTTATAGTTATACACTGGCGATATTAGCCTGCTGAGCCAAATCTCTCATGCTTGCAACATAAAGTGCACATGAGAAGACCCTAGCGAAGATGTTCGCCCTATCCTGCTCTTGTTCTGCAGTCTTTCTGGTATGCGGGATCAGAGCAATCTTCCAATTAATAGGAAGCCAGAGATTGAAGAGGAAAACCAAACTTTTCGAAAAGAGTGAAATGTATCAAATGATTAACTCAGTGCTGTTTCATATTGCAAATAACAGAATCCTTTAGATTTTTAAAATGTTCTCTGCTGAACTTGCAATAGAGCAACAATCAAACGGTGCTTCCAATTAAAATAAAATGTGTTCTATCGTAGAATCGCCCTACCTCAAAATATTATGGGCTGTCCTGCAGGATGACCACTTGGGCAGCACAATAAGGAGAAAAAGATTTGTGTGTGTCCATGTATATGCATAGGTGCACATTCTGAAATCGCATATTTTCAAACGTTAACAGAAATACAATACCATAGCAGAGAAGTGAAAATAGCAAATACAGTACCTGCGCGCCTGCTGTTCGAATGCTGATTGTTGCGGAACTAGGACTAGGCCTCACCCTGCTCTGCTTTACAGCTCCTTATCTTGAAACAAGACTTGGACTCCATGAGAGAGCCCTTCAACTTAGAGGACACCTTCAAGTAAAAAAAAGGACTGTCTTCCAAGAGCCCTTCAAATAGAGGACTGCTAGTGTTCAAAATCATGCATTATTTTAATTAGTCCATGTAACACTTGGTTCTTTTCCAAGGAGCAGTTAATACATTTTTTCCAGACTCACATCCACAGACACAAAGTTAGATCTGCTTATTCTCACTAAATTGATTCATTTATTCGTATAAGAGGATTATTAACTGTCAGAGGGCTTTCTTTAAAAAATGCTATAAAGGGACGTGATCATGGTGTCCAATTAGTTTTCTCACACTTGATTTAGCTTTAATATTATAGAAGATAAGTTAGGAAGAGTCACATGCGGAAGGATTCTCCCACTCCCTCTTCCAGGTTAGTTTCCATTTCCTGAACAGCCCTCCTTCCTCCCTCTGGAAACACCTACAGCGTAGAAGAATTTTGTTCCATAAGCAAATGTGTGATATGATAATTTCTTCCCTAAAGATATGAACAATATGGCCTAACACAGATGCCCCACTTTAATACCACTCTCAGGATCAGACTTGGAGCAAGCAGACTTGTCAGAAAATACACCAACTGAAAGAAGTGTCGGCCAAGGGATGTCTCTCAGCCCCTTCCTTTTTAATGTCTATATTAACAGCATTGTTCAAGAACTGAGCAGCCTGGTATTTTGCTGAACATCAAGCTCTCCGTTATTCTGTATGGTGATGCTATTGGTATTAGTTCTTCCAAACTGGTATGAGTAGGCTACTGACTGAGTCTGTTTAAAAGAGCACCTGATAAAGATACAAAAGCAAAAGTAGTGATTTTTGGTAGGAAGAAAAAAACTCCTTTCTGGAAGTGAGAGAATATACTCATTGAACATCTGTGTTAATTTAGTAGATGGTTGGAACTCGGGATTAATGCCCAACTCTCATGGATCCCATGCATCCTCTTCCATGTACACCCTGAAGCATTTTTTTTAGGAGGGTTGCTTATGCCAGCAGTTGTATTTTTAAACAAAATGCTCCCACAACTGCTGTGTGGTGCAGAGATATGGGGTTATATTAATGTGTCTGGTCTAGAACTCCTTTATAAGATTCCTGCAAGCTGCCCCTCAGGGTACACGAGCTCCTTTTTTACAGGTGGAAACAGAAATATTCTCCATAGAAAGACATGTTCATATGGTACTTGCTCTGTATTGGTTGAACTTGTCTTCTATGAATGAGTTGCACTTGCAAATAAATAAATAAAAGGTTTCTTAGCTGCAAAGCCCAACCCAAAGTTCTTAGATAAATTCTGTAAGTCTTAGGATTAGTACAGAAGTTCTACTTTCCATGGGTTCCAAAAGAGTTAAACAGTTAAATAAAGAAAAGATCCATCTATATTTGCAGACAAGAGCTTTTTTTGGTTCAGATTAGAATATTGCTTCTGTGAAATAATGTCTGTATTATGACCAAGGTTGCAAAATTTTATCTAGAAAATTAAGGGCAAAGCAGCACCCTGTAGCTCTATAGCAATTTATGGAGAAGGACTGTACTATAATTGATCCTATCGAGTGGATGTATGATTATAATTGTGTCATTCTAATTACTGTTTTCATACTTTTCCCTTAAAAATCCATTTTTATAATACGTTTGTATAGTTTTTAAATGGCTTGTAATTTTTTACTGAATTTTAGATTGGTTTGTATTTTTGTTGCATTTTATTCTCTGTTTATTTGGATTTATGTTGGCTATACCTATGAACAATAGTGAAGGACTGACGGACAGACAAGATAAAATAGGTGGAAGTGCAGAATAATGAGTATGCAACTTACACAACCAGGAGTGTAAATATCATTTTATTATTGTTTAATTCATAAAAGAAGAGCATTTTATATGAAAAATTTGAAAATAATAGATACGGCTTCAAAACTAAACAAAATAATAAAATGGTTCTCTATACACAAACTCCAAATATATTGAAGTATAATACTACGCAGATGACCAATATATTTTGCTGTCAGTTTTGATAAGGTTAATGTCTCTGGAATCTATAAAGCATGCTTCCAGAGAATAAGTTCTATCAAACCCAGTAGAAATGATAAAATCAGGTTGTAAGTCCATATAAATCATATCATTTTAAATTTTATCACATATAATGCAACAATTCACATAGGCTTTGTTACAAATAATACAAACATTTTAAACTATATCACTGCATTATGACAGATGATCTGCTTAGGGGGAAAAAACCATTCCTTTATGTGTTTGAGGCATGTGTTGCCTCTTATCATTACTTAAAAATATAATTTCCTAAATCAGATAAGCCATTAGCAAATATATTTTTATTCATTCGACTAGAGAAATGATGCTATTCTTGTACATCTGTAAAAAATTATGTTTGAATCAGTGATGTAGAAAATAGTATAATTAAGTGGATGTATACATGGAATGTTGTCCATGGGGTCGCGATGGGTCGGACATGACTTTGCGACTAACAACAACAAATACATGGAAATATTCAGTTTAGCTTAACATTAAGTGTAATTTTGAAAACCCTTTCCTGTGAAGATGTTACATGTGCGTGTCTGGCAGAGCTCTTGGAAAACCCCACAGTCGCATCCTACTTATACCTCCATCAGGAGCAATTGTAAGCCTCACATGAGTAAACACATCCAGTGTCTGTATGGCAGTACTGTTAAAAAAATGCCTCTTGTGGGGTTTAAGCTGTAGGGGAGAAGAACATAGTAAACATGGTACATATAACTACTGTATTAACTTCAGGCAAGACTGTCATTAAAATATTTACATCACCCCGTGCTCCAGTTGTGAATGTGCCACACTTGGGGCCTTTGTTTTTCTGAAATTCATACTATTTTCTGAAAGTGCTTCTTACCAATAATACGTTAAAGGAAGGGTGCATTCACCTACAAACAATTGATCCAGACATTCCAAGCATACCTTTGTGGAAGGCAGCAAAATACTCCATTTTGGGCCTTGTTTCCCCATCCATTTTTGGGATATGCATTCTTTTTCTTCTTGAATGTTCAAAATACAGGCCTCCAGTTTAAATGTATCCGGACAGTTCCCTAATAGTTAAAAAAGGGAAAGGAAGATCCCTTTGTGATGATATATTTTTCCCCAAGCAAATTAACGTCACAAGTGGCTACATAATGGACCTGTGCGTAACTCCAATTAAACTTCATAGGACTTGCTTCTGAGCAGACAGGCAGGTGATCACACTGTAAAGCTGCAACCCAGTGCACACTGACTTAGGGTAAGCTCCATTTAATTAAGTGGGTTAAATCCAATGTCACTCTAGCAGATACCTGCTAATGTGGCAAGAGATTCCCCCTCTCATCTCTTCTGCAGCCTCCTGCACTGCAAAATTTCCCAACCCTGCAAAGCCAATTTCAGAGGCTGTTCTGGGAAGGATGAAACTGCTGCCCATCCAGTTCCCTTGATAGAAGCGCTTCTGTCAATGAAACATTACAGGATTCAGCCCAGTGAATTTTACTGGCAGGTAAATATACTTTGGATCATGATGCACATATTACACAGTATCATGAAAAGTTTACAGAGCTAAAATGTAGGTTAATGAAGATCAAAAACATCCATCATTTAATATAACAAAAAAGCAGAATTTTAGGGGGAAATTGAGTCATAATAAACCTTCATGCAGTTTTCCCAATAGGATTTAGCTAGAATTTAACGGAAAAGGCATGAGATGGATGACAAATATTGTACCTTTAAAGTGAGTGGTGTCTGTTTCAATGTGTGTTATTACTCCAGAGTGACCTAGTCGGTAGACTGCCCATTCACTTCCTGGTATAAGGAGGATTCCCTTGTCATCCACCTGGAATTAGAAGGAGGGGGGTTAATGATGGGTTTGCCTGCTGCTGCTGCCACCTCCAAAGAAAATGCCGGCTCAATCCATTCACGGTGTCCTTGTAGGACTCAATAGACCCTGCTTTCCGGCTCCCCTTCCCCTGCTTGCATGGTGGGAGGTTAGAGGGAACGGAAGATGTGGTCGTACATTGGTTACCCCCCTCCCATCCCTTCCCCTTTTTCTATGCCTGGTAAATTAATTGTGTTCACATATGCAAGTAATTTACTGGGAAGAAACAGTTTGCTGGTTGGAGAGAGGAGGGAAATAGAGGGGTCAGTTGTGGTTGCATCAGAACCTACCCCATTTGGATTGGTGAACCATATTAGCACCACAATTAGTGAATCACAGAGCAGACAGTAAAGACAAGGTCTAATGGTGTAACTTTTCTTTAAATGACTAGCGTTTACTTTGCTTTTTACATGCAAATCAGTGTGTTTGTGAATCCTTTTTTCTCCTTTTCATTACCAATATAACTTTGCCAAGCACTGTTGAATGTAGACTGGACTGCTTCTTTTAATAAAAATCAGTGTTCTGCTACATGAGAATTGTTTAGAAATCGGATATGAATTGTTATAACAAATTTGTTCCTTACTTTTAAAACTGGTGGTCTTTCCAAATTTCTTCCTGTTTCCCATCCATCTTTCATAGATTTTGCTTTTCCAATTCCTACCCAAATGGAAAGTGATACTTTAGTACAGAGGAAATAAATGCTGTTAATTATAAATCACCTGCCATTCTATCTGTTCTGGGGTGGTTTGCTTTCTATTTTAGTGAGTAAGGCTGTCAACTGGTTGAATAAATCATATATTATTTACTGTGTAAGTTTTAATTGATTAGTGGTTAAGTTCATTAAGCCGCCCCGAGGCTTCGGCGAATGGGGCGGCATAAAAATGTTTTAATAAATAAATAAAAAATAAATTAAATCAGGATAAATTTACATAGGATTAAAACAATATTTTCCAAGGGAGAAAAATGCTTTCTTTGAACAGGATTTGAAGAAGCACACAATTAGTTTTGCACACGCAAATGGGCTTTGAATTTCTGTGTATCCAACATCAACTGCCCTTGCCACTCCTCCTCTGAAACATTTGGCTTGAGGGAGGAAGCAACTGAGACCCTCAGTATGGCTTGAAGATGCTCATCAGTAAGTTCGGACCTGAACTTTGACTTATTAAAGTTCATGGTGGAGAAGAGCTTTTCACACAGATAGGTGCTCCCAAAAAGGCACATGGTCCGCTTGAACATCCTGGAAAGCTCAGGGAAGGTAAGGGGCACGCGGGATGAGCGGCCCACCACCACCGCGGTGGTCGGCCTTGGGCGGCAGCAGTGGTGGTGGGCCGCTCATCCTGCGTCGCTCCCGGAGGCCGGCCTGGGTGCCGCCAGCACTTTGAAGGCCACAGGGCCCCTCCCTCGTGCGCTGCCCGTCCCGGCATGCAGCTTAGAGGGAACATTGCGCCCAGGGTAACAACTCACGCAGGTGCGTGTGAGAAAAATGCGCGGGCCACACTATCACTAAACTTTGATATCAAGTAGGGGCCACAAAATATTATTCCATGGGCTGCAATTGGCCCATGGGCCGTGAGTTTGAGACCCCTGCTCTAGAACAAGCCATGAGAATATCTGGAGAACACAGGCGTACCAATGTGGGATCATGATGTTGTAAAAAGTCCTGCTAATTTCTGTGAGTGAGGTTTAACAAATGTACAATAAATGCCTTATGTAGAGAAACCCAAATATTTTGTGGTATGTGGAGTTGTCATTTAAAGAAGGAAAAAAATTTAGAAGACCTGCCTAATTCTTGCTTGTGCTCTTTGGATCCCTGTCTCTGCTTTTAAATGATGCAAACATGTATCACAACAGGTAGCACCCTAAAAGAGATGCTTCTTGCTATGTAAACATGTTAACCAGTTAATTTGGAACGTGTTTTAGCCAATAAAAATATTTTCAATTATGTAATCCAAATATCCACCAGCTAAATGTTGTAACCTTAGAATTTAGTATACATGGTAATCAAGACTTGTTTTTTTAATCCATATGGCATTAACACCTCAACTGGATCTCACCAGTAGGACTCTTTCCTTTTTCTAGATATGGGTTTTACTTGATTTCTCAGAACTTTCTGTTCCTTTGTTTTCCATGACAATATGTTTGATAGAGTCTGTAATTCCACTCTACCATCATCAGCAAAAGAGAGAAAACTTGTATAAGTACCCCACAGAAACCAGCCTCAGGAAGCAAAAGAACTCCAAGAACATGCTGCTTGGAGGAGCTGGTGCTATGTTAATGACACAAGGATTAATCCAAATTTATTCTAACAGCAGTTTACTAGCACAATAGGTTGTCGTCTAGCTATGCTGCCAAACAATCCATTCTGGAGGGTTTCCAGGATGTCCTTAGCAGATTTTCAAGGAGTGCAGGTGCTCCAGGGGAGGTTGCCCCGTACTGATTCCACTGGCAGGATCACATCAGTATTTTGTGAAATCTTCCCTGTTACCCATCAATTTGTGCATTTAAAATTAAACAAGTATTTAAATAAGAAATTGGTTATACTTTTCCTACAAGAAAACTGAGCATATAAACTATCCACCACCCTTCAGTTGCAATTTCCTACTCTTCAGGGAAGTGGGGAGCATGAAATGATATATCTGAACAATTACTTTCAAAATGTAATGCCTTGCCTATATACCTATAAACCAGAAGAACTGTTTTTAAATGAGTGAAAAAGTCATGCCAAGCAATGTCACTGAGCTCCCACATGAAATGAGAAAGAAGCCATCATAAGAACATAGGAAAAGCCATGCTGGATCAGACCAAAGGTCCAGCTAGTCCAGAGCTCTGTACATACAGTGGCAAACCAGCTGCGCACAGGATCCCTCAAGCAGGATGGGGGCAAGACCCCCTCCCGTCCAAGCACCTCAGCAGCTGGTGTATGCAGGCCTGTGGCCTCAGGTGAAGGAGGTAGTAGCCAGCAAGGTTAGTAGCCACTGAGAGCTTCCTCCCTTATGAATCTGTCCAATCTCTTTTTAAAGCCATCCAGATTGGCAGTCATCACCACTTCCCATGGCAGCAAGCTCCATTGTTTATACGCTGTGTGAAGAAGTATTTCTTTTATCTGTCCTAAACCTCCCACCAGTCAGCTTCATGGGATGACCTTGGGTTTGAGTGTTGTGGCAGATGGAGAAACTCACTACTTTTCCCACACCATGCATTATTTTAAACACCTCTACCATGTCTTCCTGTACTCGCCTTCTTTCTAAGTTGAACAGTCCAAGTTGTAGCCGCTCCTCATGGGGGAGCTGCTCCAGCCCTCTGATCAATTTTGCTGCCCTTCTCTGTACTTTTCCCAAGTCAATAATCTCCTTTTTGAATTAAGGTGACCAGAATTGAACACTCTATTTCACATGTGTTCCATATGACTGCTGCAAAGTGTCTATTTATTCCAGTTGGGTTTATGCTGGAGCCAAAGGTAAGTATCCTTGGATTGGGCCCATGAACAATAATAGTGCTTTGTGTCATTGTTCTCATGTTGCCACTTGGGTAGTTTTATGCTAAGAAGTTGGCAGTTTGATTTTATGAAAAATTGTATCCTACTTACTGCATTGAATGAAACTAAACTAACAGTTATAAATAAAGCCCAGCATTATTCTTACCTAAAACATTTTGGGGATGACCTAATTGTGCACCACTATGCCCAATGCAGACACCTCCATTCACCATTGCCACCAAATCACTCAAGTGATTCTGGCCGGAAAGTGACCAGTCTCTCAGCATCGTGCCATATACTTTTAAACGTGCAATCCCACCATCTGCAGAAAAAAATAATAATTCCTACTTAAAGCTGAAAAGAAAAAAATGAAGGCCATAATTCAATTTGATAAGTTAATACATATATACACACCTATATAATTTAAGAGCCACATGGTGTAGTAGAGCATATAATATTCTCTTGCAAATAGGTGCTGGTGGTGCTAGGACAGGCAGTGATGGCAAGGAACGTAAAGGAGCCGATGTAGTTACAAATGTTACACCTGCTGCCATCAGTGACGGCCCCTCCAGCAATGCCAAAATGGAAGTTTCAGGGGTAGAACAACCCATAGCAAAACCTATGATCAGTTGCATGCACCATTGGATGCTTACAGTGGTGGTTTAGCACTATGTGCAAAGCCACCTGTAAATGAAGATATGCATATACAGCAAATTCATACAGTAGATGATGCTTTGCAGATGTAAACTTTTGCTCCTAATGAATGCTTGGAACTATGTTCCTCATGGATGCTATTAACTGCTAAGAGATAAGACTGACTGGAAACAGATGTCAAATAAGTCTTTTGATGCACCTATTATATATATAGACATTACCTGGATGTAAGTTGAGTCTTAAGTGAGTCCACCTTTGCTTGGAAGTCACAGAAAAATAGTTGCGGGCAGTGTCAAGGTTTCCTGATTTTACCTCTGACATAGGAAGCAAGAAGGTCCATTCATCTGATTTCATCTGGAAAGAAATGTTAGTGTGCAATCCTGCGCCTTCCCATCATCCTCTGGGAAGCCACACAATTATTCAGAGTCCTACCTCCAAGCCCCTGAGGTCCTCTCCATGCCCTGACTTCACTGCTCCCCCACTGCCCTTCCCTGATGCTTTAGATGGCTGCAGACAACTGTCTAGAGAAAATACATGGCAGAGGGGCAGCAGTGGCAGATCTCACCTCTGCTGTGCTTCACTCCATGCATAGGATGCATGTAAGCCACCAAGTTACCGTATTTTTCGCTCTATAAGACGCACCTGACCGTAAGACGCGCCTAGTTTTTAGAGGAGGAAAACAAGAAAAAAATATTCTGAATCAAATGGTTTACTAAACTATTTAATAAACTATAACGGAATACAGTAATACCGTATTTCAACCTTGTAAAGTGAACAGCAGTCAACAGTGGCATCAAGAACCATCATCACTGTCATTAACAAAAGAGAGACTTTAAAGTTCGAGTACTCTTCTAGTTTTCGTTGAACCCATAGAACTCATCATCACTAGAGTCAGAAATTATGAAGCTCTGTTGCTCACAATCACTGACATCACTTTCTTCACTATCTTCATATAAGACACCATCTTCGGTTCCATCCAAAGCATTGCTAATTCCACATTTTTTGAATGCCTGTACGATTTCCTCCTTCCCTGAGTGCCATGATGTTTTCACCCATTCACAAACTTGAGTGATAGTGGGCCTCTTCATTCGCCCAGTAGGTGCCAGATCATGATTACCAGCAGCCATCCATTTGTTCCACTCTTCTCGCATAAAGACCTCAAATGGTTTGAAGATGGAAACATCGAGAGGTTGCAACTGGCTGGTAAGACCTCCAGGAATTACAGCTAGATGAGTCTTCACTTCTTTAAAGCACTTTTTTGTAGTTTTGCTAATATGTGCTCTAAACTGGTCAAGCACTAATATGGCAGGTTTTTTCAGAAGCCCTCCAGGACGTTTGGATCACACTTTTTCAACCCATACTCTTATTCCATTTTTGTCCCTCCATGCTTTCTTATGAACATGTACAACAACTCCTCTTGGAATCACTTCTTTTGGAAATGTTTTCTCCTTTTGAAAATTAACATGGATGGCAATTTGGTGCCATCTGCACAGCAAGACAACACAACTGTGTAATGGGTTTTCTCATGTCCAGAGGTTTTCCCGGTGATAGTTTTGGCACCTTTCAAATCAACAGTCCTATTAGATGGCACATCAAAGGCACATCAAAGGTTAGTGGGACTTCATCCATATTCCCAATCTGGCCAATTTCAACCCTATTTTTCTTCCTAGCATCAATTACAAATTTCTGAAAAGACAGAATCTTAGATTCATATTCTTTTGGCATTTTTTGTGCAATTCTAGTTTTGGTGCGTATAGCAAGGCCACATCGCCTCATAAATCTGTAGCACCACGATGGTGATCCAGTAAAATCGTGAATGCCTTTCTCTACAGCAATGCGTCTGGCTTCATGTATTATCATTTTTGTAGAGACTGAGAAGCCATTATTCATGTGATGTGTGATCCATTCAGTCACAGGCACATTCCCCATCACTTCCCCATGGGCTTGCCATTTGAAAACACACACTGACCTGTGATTATCAGGAAGCTTTCCATGGATCAGAACGGTGCCTGCTTTATAAAGTTAATAGAAGGACCAATATCTGTTAGTTGATCAGACACATTTTTTTTAGGATCAGTGGATATTTGAACAGCATTACCTTCGTGTATGAAGTTTATTCTGCAAAGGCTGCTTAGTCTACTGTGTGTTTGCTTTACCGTACAATATCTCATTTTTTGTCAGAAGTTTTTTTCTATTATTCACTAATAGGGCAGCGTGAACATTACTGGCTTTTTTACATTTCATCTACTATCTCTCAGCAACACTGGAACAACGCTGCCATCTAGCTGGTGTTTTGTTTCATGCGCCTTCTCCTCACCTCTATGGAAGATGTCCTCTCTCCTTCTGATCTAAAGCTCTCTGCCTTGGTCTCCGCCCCCCGTCCCGCCTCCTTACAGCTACGTGGTGCCGAGGTGCCAAGGGAAAAAAAAAAGTTCATCCAGCGGCCATACGTCTTGCCCGCAGGAGAGCTAAAGGTACTGAAGGCATATTACATGTCCCGGGCGTTGGGCACACCATGCTGCACATCTGACAGACTTACTGCACACACATATTCGCTCTATAAGACGCACAGACATTTCCCCTTACTTTTGAGGGGGAAAAAAGTGCATCTTGTAGAGCGAAAAATACGGTAGTTAGTATTTGTTTGTTTGTTTATATATTTATTTGATTTTAGAGCCTGCCTTTTTCTTTTCCTTTTTTTAAGAACTCAAAGCCACTTACATCATTCTCCTCCTCTTACTCTCAGTCTTATCCGCACAACAACAACCCTGTGAAGTAGGTTGGGCTGAGAGTCTGTGACTGGCCCAAAGTCACCCAGTTGGCTCCATGGCTGAGTGGGGACTCGAACCCAGATCACCTGTGTCCCAGTCTTATGCTCTTAATCACAACACCCCACTGGTTCTCTTCAAAACTTAAGTCTTGAAGCTTACGAGGGAGGATGAGGGCATTCAATCGTGACTTTTGCTAACTTGCTTTTCCGTTTGTGATAGCCATGTTTTGGTTTCTTTTTAATACATCACAGCCCATAAATATATTGCTTTTATATTTTAGCTTTTTGTGTCGCTGTTAGAGTTAAATTTTGCTGAATGATTTAGTTGGCTTTTAATATGAATTTGCATATTACAAAACAATTTTGAGAATATAATACAGTGCTAAACTCTTTGTTATCTTTGAAGACTCATAGCCACAAGGAAGGGTCATATTTTGATGAATCCTTCCTTTATTTCAAACACCCGTGAAAGCACAGCCAAGAAATGATTATCTGTGTTCTGTCAAGCAGATTTCTTTTTATTGCATTGTACAAACCTGTCTAGTCCCTGCTGTAATTAAGGAAAAATGCATTTGAATGGACACCTGAATCCTGAAATAGGCCTCTCTAGTTAACAAGCCAACCCAAGGATGTTATAAATGGTAATAAGATTTCACATACAAGTTACAACAGGCTATACTCGAGAGCGCTTGAACAACTCAAATGTGAAATTACTGCTTTTCTTTAAAAAATGCACAGCTTGTTGCTGAAATGGCCTCCTTAATACAGGACTAGCCATTTCTATAAAGGAATCAGAGAAGGAGCCAGAAACTAGCAGAACTGTCACTCTAACTTTTTTCTCAAGTAAACTGGTAGAAAGCAATATTAAAGCTAAACATGTGGAAGATGAAGCCTTGCTGAAAAATAATCTATGGCTTTCACAAAGGAAAACCATGCACCATCAACCTTTTAGAAGTTTGTGTATCTTGAAGATACAGAGGAGAGATATATAAATTAGCCCCTCACAGCAACACAGGTTGCTTGTACTGACTGCCACGTCCACACCCTTTTCCTTTTACTTCTGGGGAAATTCCAAATGCCCATTGCTTGAGGCCCTTTCTCACGCCCAGAAAAATCAGTCCAACAGATGTGAGGTTAATGAGAGAAACATGTTTGTGACCTGATAGCCCCATTTGTGTATTCTTGCATTTACTCTGCACTGTGAAGGAAAAGACAACTGAGGGCAACCCAAAGGATCAAGTCCTGATGGATGCCCCCTGTGACTAATGGCTACAGCATTTGAGGTTTTTAAATTTAGAAAAAAGTCAAGGAAAGGGAACATGATACAGATGTATAAAATTATGCATCCTGTGAAGAAAGAGAGTAGTGAACCCACAGTCACCTAAGGAAGCTGTCAGGACAAAATGAGTGAAAGCTCTGCCATAATGTGTCTGCTAACTGTAAAAGAGGTTTAGACTTAAGATGGGATTCCTGGTCTGATCAAGAATCCATGTGGCAAGTCTTGCTCCCCACCTGCAACTTAAATAATGTGCCTGCCTGAAGCTTCTTCCTTTGGAGGCATCCCTTAGACATGCTCATCTTTGCCTGGCCTGAAAGTTCTTCCATTTGGGTTGCCTTAATCCATTCAGCCCTATTCCTTTGCTCTCATGTGCCACTCACAAACTGATCCACTGCCCTCCTCCAAACTGTGTACATAACTGATAGGTTATAAAAGCATCTTGTCCAGACTCCATCTTGGTAGTCCCTTTGGGGGCTACCTACATGCTGCATCTATTCCTGTATGTCTGAATAAACTATAAATACGCTTTGATTCTACACCCCCTGTGGACTCTGGTTTTCCTTGTCAAAGCCAAGTGATGGTAGAGTGAGGACATAAAAAGAAGTATTTTTCCACAGAGTAGCTAGGCATCCCCTTTAGGCCTCTGCGTTAAGGCTCAGCCTGACATCTGTCCAGCTTTCACATTTGTCCTTTAAAAAGCAAAGATTCCTGGACATGGTTACTATTAATTTTTTTATTTTGCGTTTTCTCTTATCTTTTCAGAAGAAAGCTCTGGACAGTCTCAAGATGTGACTGTAGCACAAGGATGGCTGACTGCTTTTCTGTTAGTGGCAGCAGGACAGCTTTGCACCTTCAGGGTCTTTCAGGGAAGGAGGAACGGCTGGCAGGAAAAAGAATCACAGAACTGGATTGGATCTAGTGCAGTTCCCTGCTCAGGGCAGTTTCTGCAATGCAGGAGGCAAAGCTACAGAATCCCTGACAGGCAGCCATCCCAGTTCTTCTTGAACACCTACAGAGAACAAGAACCCCCCATCTGCCCTCACAATCGTTCCACTGCCAAACAGCACACGCTGTTAAGAAGGGAACTGAGCCAAGGGGGCTGTAGAACGACTTGTGGGTGGGGATGTAGAGAAAGAAGGGGTGGATGAAAAGGGGTGGAAGGAGAACAAGAAGGGAGGGCAGCAATGGTCCCGGAGGGCACCTACGAAGGGCACCCATGAGTGCCTCGAATGGCATCCAGCAGAGCTCTTTACTCCCTGTCCCCTTCAAGACCAATTTTCAATTCTAAAAAAGATGGAAACCCATTAGGGTCCTCCTTCCTGTTGCTGAACCTGTCACTGATCGACTGTTCCGTGGGCAGGAAAAGAAGCAGGGGAGAGCAGGGCTGGAGGGGAGAAGAGGGAAGAAAGAGCGAGACAGAGAAGTGAGAGGAGAAATGTCAAGGCTAGAGATCGGAAATGGGAAGAAAGTTGAGATGAAGGGCTGAGCCAGAGTGGAAGAGCAAGGCTGGGGCGAGGAAGTGGGAGAAGAAAGACTAGCAATGGGGAAAAAGAGAAATAGCAAGGGAAGGGTTGGGAGAAAGGAACTCTGGGGTCAGAGGCTGGATGGAGGGAGAGCAAACAAAAAGAGTCTGTGTGGACTGAAGAAGACCGAGCAGGCCAAGAAGCATCTCTTTCCATTTCCCCCTCCCTCCCTCCCAGCCTCTAGCCTCCCTATTTCCTCCCGGGTTTTGACTAGCCATATTTCCATGGCACCAGTTGTTGGAGTAGCCACATCCAGCATGGAGGCCAATTTATGGGCTGCTCACAGCAGCTTCTCAAATTCCCAAGCGTGCCCTCAGGTCCAAAATGGTTGTAGACCCCTGGGATACCATGTGTGGCTGGAGGTATCATGCGCCCCCTCAGCAAACACTTCACTGATTAGAAGTGTGGGCAGTGAGAATAAGAGGCTTCATCAGTTTCATAAGAGACAGCAATGCTACTACAAACGTCTCAAGTGATCCCTGATCTGAACTTCCTCCAACCCAAGGGTCACAAGGTACCTCCTTGACAGCCTGGAGCTCTTCATCTGAAGCTGCAGTTCCCATTCTCATCCCTCTGGGTGGCAGTAGTGGGACCTCTTCTGGCAACAGAAACATAATATGAGCAGAGTCCATGAGACAGCAGACCATTTTTAAATAAAGATGCGTATTATCTTTAGCGTGTTATACTAGAAACCAGATGTCTACCAGACTGTCCCATGCTATATGGGCAAGAATGAGATATGGAAAAACTGAGGGCAAAACTGGATATGACATGAATGCGTGTCTGTTTGTCTGTTGACTCCCCCTCACCCCGCAAAAAACCCTACAGTAAGGTTTTTATTATTATTCGAATAGGGATTATGCCATGTGGGGAGGGAAATTGAGACTTTTACCTGTGTCATGGCCCCAGTCCAAAGCATGCCTTTATTAAGGTTAGCAGACAAAAAGGAGACAACACAGAGACATCTATTGTACCTGGATGTTTCCCTCTCCACAGCTACTAGGAGTTTTGAGGGGGAGCATTTTGATCAGGGCTATGGAACAAGGGGAAAAAACTAATTCCCCTGCTCAGATTTCTACCACCGCTATCCTGCGGCTGCTTTCAGGGTGCATTCACAGGTATCTTGTCTAGTTGGGTTTTTCTGTCTGCAATCTGCCACATCTAGTGTGTGTCATAATGAGGAACTGCAGCAAGGGAAGGCCAGAATAGGCATCTGTGTTTCTTTGATCCATGCCGTATAGTACAGAGTTCTGTCTATTTAGACAGCAGGCACCTAGATTTAAATCTCCAGACTAACCCAGATGAAATGTCTGTGTTTAGGTTCATAGGAGAAGCAGGGATTAAAATGGCATACATATAGGGAAAATGCACATAATGGAACACTGTATTGGCCCAGACTTAGGCGTACATTAATTTCAGTGAGTCTACTCATACTATGACTAAGTTTGAATCCAGTTCCTTAGCTCTAGCACTTGCCTAGCTTTTATATATAGTGTTTGAATATTGGATGTAGGGCTTCTCTACACAAAGGTTTTAGCCTGCTTTTTTTTTACTGAAACTTTTGTTTTCATTGCAGGAGGAATATGTGGGGGGGGGGGGGATTCAGGTGGTTATATTTCCCTGCCTTTCTATATATTCTGTTAACCAAGCACAGCAGGACACTGTGGTAAGTCAGAAAGCTACTGCACTGGCTTTTGTTCCTGTATGTTGTGACTTAGAATTTAATATCAGACTCTCCTCACTCTAAAAAGATCCCGCTAGAAAGGCTGGGAATATGGAAGCACAATAAATGGATTGCATAGAGAAGCCTGTAGAAATGCCTGCAGTGAAGCCTGAAAAATAAAATGCCACTGATGTATGGGTACATCGGCTTCCCCTGCTGCTAGGACTAAATATCACCATTGCTACTGGTGGGATCTAGAAGGCTTCTGTCAGACTGAGCCGATGCTAAGCCCAAATGGGGCTAGGATTAGCAGAATGTGCTGTGTAGGATGAAAGGGACAGCAGCATACCCGCTGCATACCGTAGCGGCCAGAGAACCCAGCAGTAGAGACATGCTCTTTTACGGATATGCTATAAGATCTTGGCGCCCCTTTCAGTACTAACACAGGATGGAAAACTTTACTGGGTGGTAGCGGACTGTGTTAATACCAATGTAGTATCGCTGCACAAAATAAAAGAAACAGAACGTGAATTGTGAGAGTGCATCTGTGCTTAGACCTCCTGTGTTGGCATGCTCTTGCTAGCTAGACCTGGAAAGGTCTGCTTAAACCCCTTCCTCATGCCCACAGCTGATGCTTCTTGATGTGGGTTGCTTGCCATAACTTGCTTCCTCCATCCCTTTCTCTTAACTCTAGCCAAGAAGACTGAGAGGAGACATAATATCCCTCTATAAGTACCTCAAAGGCTGTCACAAAGAGGAAGGTCCAGATCTCATCTTGCTGATGACAGAATGTAGGACATGGAATAATCAATTCAAGCTGCGACAACCCAGATTCAGGCTGGACAGCAGGAAGAGCTTCCTCACTGTCAGAGCAATAGAGCACTGGAACCAGCTGCCTAGAGAGGTGGTGGGTCTCCCACACTAGAGACATTCAGAAAGAAACTGAGTGGGGTGGTGTACCTTGGTGTCTTGCAACAGCAGGGGGTTGGCCCTGATGGCCTTCATGGCCCCTTCCAGCTCTAAAGTTCTGTGATTCTAAGTGCCTTAAAATATCCTTCCTGAGCCTGATGCCTTCTGCATGCACTGGACTGCAACTCCAAACATTTGCATAATCAATGGCCATGCTGATCCAGGATGGTGGGAGTTATAGTGAAACATTTGAAAGGTGCCAGAATGGGGGAAGGTTGCCTTCAAGAAAAGTTTCTATGCATACGTCTCACCAGCAACTGAGCTTTGTTAGTTCTGACGCAGCATCAGGCCTGCTGTGGGCATTCTTAACATTTTAGTTACCTGGCTTCAAGAAAGCAGCTTGGATTGATATCCACGGAGCACAGTTCCCAGCCAGGTAAGATGTGTCTGCCTCAAACCCATAAATAATACCTGGTACACCCAACTGAATGATGCACCAGTCATGACCTTAAAAAGAATGCAACAGTTGTTTATTTTAAAAATTACTCTATAATCAATGTTAAGATTGGTTCAGGAAATGAAAAGAATTGACTTTATTAGTATGAATGCAGCATGACCAACTAGATGTTAGAGAAATCAACAGATTCAAATAATTTTAGATTTCTATGAATCTGATCCACAGATTCCACAGTAAACCATCTTCTCCTGAGTCAGTCGGATTCTGTGGGTTTGCTAACTACCATTGTTGTTGTTTCTATTGTCCCAAATTTCATACAATTTAGTCACAGAAAAAGGTTATGAATTTTAAAATGCGATCTGAAAGTACCCATATCTCCCAATAAAGTCTAAAGTAGTGGCACACTTTGAGGATTTATTTGCATACTTGGGGGAGTTTGTGCATTTTTGCAAGTTCAATTTTAGGCACGTGCAAATTTGCCCAAGTATAAATGAACGCATTGCACAAGATCCTATTCCATCAGTGACCAAACTACAGAACAACGGGTGCCTGGCAATCCACAAAACACAGATGGAAAAGATTAATAAAATCTGTACATCGGTATCGCCAAGAGTTTCCAAAGATGAATTCAGAGGAAAAGATGCAGAGTGACAGGTAGACTACATATGTCTTATCAAAGCATATAATCAAAGCCTGGGCAACCTGAACATGAATGTATTCTGCATGAACCAAATCCACTTGGTAGTGACTTGTGCTGAGTTTACTACTCTAAATTAACAGCTGGCAGAATAAATTCAATTGCTGTTCATATTCACCCCCATCAGTTTCAAAGGCACCTGAGTGGGAGCACACAAACCACAAGAAATATGAAAGAGAAAACTAAATGATAGGTTGCCATCTCTTTTACACACAAGGTAATCCAAAATGTTAAATTACAATGGATGTTTCGTTTTCTCAACGTCACCATTAATTTGGCTCCTTGCAAGAAAACATGACATAAGTGACAAATTGTAGATGAAAACCTGAAATCATTCATAGGCTTTGTGTGTAGCTTATAATTTTACAATAGATTACTTAGAGTAGTCCAGGGATCTTTACAGAGCAAGACTCCACCCCAGATTTCCTCATATTATCTTGAGTTCAGTTTTGCAGCTCAGCTACTAAATCAGTGTTTTACCTGGAATTCGCTTCCTCCTGGTTTCCCATCCATCCCTCCACTTCCCATACTCAGTAAATAGGTCTGCATGAAATACTGGCCTCTGCTTCTAAACAAACATAAAATAGCAAGAGGGCTCAAAACCTGATTTGCATTACAATCTGTCCCCTCATAAATAAACAACAAGCTTTGAAGTTAGAAGGCATTATTGTGTACAAAGTTGTCTTGACCCACTCAGAAGATAATACTTTCTGATTTTTCATTTTTTGTCAAATAAGCAAACCATGAAGAAGTGGGTAAGTACAATGAAGTGGCAGAGATGGCCCTGCAAGACCCTTCCCAGGGGGACCCGGGTGCACACACAACCAGCATGCGGCTCAGTTCTGCTGCCTAGCAGTATATGGGCCGGAACAATGCTGTTCAATGCTTCCATTGGCTTGCTAGTCTCTCCAGTGTCAATCTGTAGTGAGCCTACTCCAAAGTCGGAAACTTTTTTAATTCCCGTCATTCCTAATTATTGGCCATGCTGGCTGGGCGACAACCATGAGTCGGAGGCTAACAACGGGTCACAGGTCCCTCAACCCTAGTCTGTGCACATAACAGCTGTACCATTGTATGGCACCTTCCTTCAGGAACACATGTCTGTGCCTAGGCACATAGGCTTCCTGTGACTGACCGCAATTGTGCATCTCTTGGGGTGTGTGGCCAGCATGTGTTTTGGCTAGCCAACACATTGGGAGCCCCACCGCTTGGTTTGCTACCCCAGGGCACTGAGCTCCTGAACGGGGCTACTGGCGTTCCCTGGTGTGCTTTCTGGTCCCTGCAGCACTGCCCAGTGGGATTTCACAGCTTGGGGGAATGAACAGAACATAAGCTTGGACTGTTACTGGCTTTTAGTAATCATCTTTATTACAATCCATTTATAAATCAAAGAAGGGCCACACAAGCCTTGCCTACCTTTAACAGATTTTCTGCAGGAGCAAAGAAGTCATCTGTGGCAAATAAGATCTGTATAATATAAAACAGAAGCATGAATTATAACAGGACTTCCACATTTTATTTCACAGACCACATTGAAGCTGACCAAAGTAGTGGGCGATCTAGGTCCCTGGCTCATCCTTCCTTCTTCCCATTTGCATCTCCCCTGCTCCCCTTGTTAATACTCCTCAGTGTACAGAGCACTCATCATGGGAAAGCATAAGTGACCAAATTTAACAACTCCAAAGAGATATATCCATGCACATATTTTCTTTTCTTTTACAATTTCATTATTTGCTAAATAACTCTTACCTCCTTCTTGGTTATGTTCATCTGCGGGCACTGACAAGATCTGCTTTTCCTAACCTGGTGCTCTCCAGAAGTGTTGAACTGCAGTTTCCATAATTCTTAGCCAGAGTGCATGAGAATTATGAAAGTTAAAGTCCAACACATCAGGGGGGCATCAGGTTGGGGAAGGACCTGAATGATCAGCCTGCAGAGAGGAGCTGTTCCAATCAAGGCAGCACTCCTATTTGACTGAAGTAATTAATATCATAATACCTACTTTGCTGGTTTTTCACATCTGGAGATTTTTTATTTTACTTCTTCAATAAAATCACCGCACATTTTAAAGAATTGCACTGAAGGTACCTTTCCTCCAGTGGTTTCGCACGCTAAGTCATTCATATGCAGAAAGTCGGGTAAAACATTAGGTTCTCCTTCTCTGAGATGAGCCGACATCTATGCTCAAAAGTATTCCTTTTCTTCTGAAAGAGAAAGGAAAGAAAGTAGACCACAGTTCTCCTCCCCTCCTACCAATCTGTTGTTGTTGGCTTCTTAAAAGGAGGGCTACCATTCAGTTAAAGAAAACATAACCCATTAATCATGTAATTTTAATTGGTTCAGATACAATCCAACACATGTTTAGACAGGAAAAGCGGCCTACAACCCTCACTATGCTTTAGCCAGTTATGCTGGCTGGCACATTGGGAGCCAGAGGCCTCTGTCCAGTCTAAATACAACTAGGCATGCACCCTTTTAAAAACTGCATCGATTTAAATGTATTTTTAAATCCTGAATGCATATTTACAATGGCTCAGATCATGGAATACTTAAAATCAGCTTAAAGAAGTATACTGCAGGGAAGTTTCCCTCCTGGTCAGGAGCCCCCTCAAACAATATGGGATGGTGTACAGAGGAGGGATGGCTCACCACTGGGGGAAGACTGGAGAAGCTATTCAAGACTGCAGGCAGGAGGCAAATGCTTTCTTTCCATGAACTTCCTTAAGTTAGCTCTAAGGCTTTGTTTTTAAAATGACACCGACACAGCAAGCACCATCTTAGGCTTCCCTTTCTTTCTCTCTTACACACACATGCTGTGCTTCTAAGATAGTTCCTGCCATCTGCATTTTTACCTACTTATATTTTAAAAATTGCTGCTGAATTAGTTAATTAAATTGTTTTTTATTAACTGATCTAATTGATTAATTGTTCTAATTGATGGGATTAAAATTTCAGGCCTACGTAATAGAATAACACTCTGGAGTGTGTGGTCATCACAAAATTGAGATAATAGCATTAGCATACTCAGAGGACTAAGACAGTGCGTGGAAATATATTAGTTGGTAAATTTCAGAGGAAAGAAGGAAGGGTGCCAGATGGATTCTGGTCTGATCCATCAGAGTCCTCAGCTGCCAAACAGTCGTGTTACTGTGCTGAGCTCTACCGATAGACAACTTTGTTGTTGGCCACTGGGCAAACCAGAGCAGAACCAACTCCTTCCCTCCATCCTGCAAAATGCCTTTAATTCACGAAGCACCGTTTCTGCTATTTGACTGCAAGGCAGTAGAAGTTCCTGACCTGATATAAAAGGGGCATCACTGGCTCAGCCCAATGGTCCACCAAGCTGGCAGTTTCTAAAAATGTCTGGCAGACAGCTTCGAAGAACCCCGTAAGCAAGGCATGGAGTGGAATAACATGGACCCATTGTTTGTCCCCTTTCTGAAGCAGGTAGTTTATTTAGATATGACCAATGGTAGTCATGAATAGATTTTTTCCCTCCATTAATTTACTCCTTCGTTAGAGAAATGTAAGGCAGTGGCTCTCATCACACTGAACAGAAACAAATTCTCTAAGCTGGTTGTGTGCTGTGCCATGCATTTTCACTGAGCCTCATTGCATGACACAACAGCCCAGTGTGGTTCAATTTTCCCATCAGGACTCTCAAATCAAATTTTTGTGTGGCATCCATGGATACCTGACTTGCCTTGATTTGCCACGTTGTACAAACCCAGGCAGCAGGAGCAATTAGACAACCTTCAAACAACCCTACATTGTCTCTTCTGCAATCCATGACTAATTGTTTTCTTTAAATGACAATGGGTTGTAGGTTTTTCGAAAGGGATGGGGGGAATCTTACCTAATTTTATAAATGCCTTTCATATCTTTTTATTTATTGACTTTTCTCCAACACATTCACTTTCCTCCTAGAAAAAAAATACTCCCAGCTTGGATCATTCTGTCATTTTCTGCATCATTTCCCTCTCAGTTATACTTGCTGTATTTCCTTCGTCTGGGAAAACCATTAGTATACCCACTAGTCTAAACGTGGCCACATATTAGGTTTACATGAAGCCATTGCATTACAGGCAGTTTTATTTTAAATTCCTTTCCTACGCATCCTTTTTCACAGCTGCTATCCACAAAGTTGATGTTTTCATTGAGATATCTGGCAAGACCCCCAGATCCCGTTCCGGGTTAGTCACTAATCCCATCACTTCCAAGAATATGTAAAGTGAGCAATTCCTTCCCTAATGTACACAGTCGCACATTTGCTTCATGGAGTCACATTTGCCATTTTGTTGCCTGTTCAGCTATTCTGAGGGAACAAAGTTGGCTAAGCAGCCTGACTATTCCACATCAGGGATTGGCTGCCTCATGATTCGCTGGCCTTATCGTTTATGAAGGTTAAAAGCACTGGGCCCCGAACCATCCTGGTTAGAACCCACTGCCTGCTTCTCCCCACTGCACAAAGAGTTTATTCCTAGCCGCAGAGTATTACTGAATGATAAAAGGACCAGTCCTATTACACCACATCTGTTAAGTTTACTTAGGAGGAACCTTGTTTGAGAAACTTGTCCATCTTTCTCAAAGCCCAAGAATATAATGTTTACTTGGTACTTGGACAACTTGACCAACTGCAGACCTGCCAGATTTTGCAACTAAGACAGAGTGTTTTCTATGCAAGGCTGTTAAACCACACTCAGTTTTGTAGCAGAACTACCCAAGGAGCATTTTTCTGTTTTTCCACTACATAACCTCTAGGTGGCACTGAGGTATAGAGAAATAGCACAAATGCCTGAGGAAATAGTGCTTTCTTTTGCCTTCAGAATGAATACCCCATTTTTCTGCTCTAAAAATACTCACACAAAGTGCTGCTTACAACAAGCTAAGCTGGAAGGTCATATTGTCATGTGAAGAATCCATAAACAACTGTGAGTAGGGGATGACAAGCAAGCAATAAATGCTTCATGTAAAAAGCTCATAATGAATTGTGCTATCCTAGAAGTTATTTCACCACAGATCAGTAACATTTCCATTGTCAAAGCTAGTACTGTATCATTCAATCAAATAATTAAATTGTCATCTAGGCAGACACACCATCAAAAATGAAAATAAAATAAGGCAATGTTATTGAATAGAAACTTTTCATAATTCACTTGTAAAGAAGAAAATGCTGGTTCTTATGTATAATCTTAATAATTCGGTTAAAAGCTATTTGCCATATTGTTCCAAGAGAAATATATTAAAATCAGTTAATCTTACTCTTTTAGTAGTTTTGTTTCACAGCCGCCCTGAGGAATTGAAGAGTAAAGAGATGAATGTTTAAAAGGGATAATGCCTAATCCAAAATAAGCCAGTTACATCATCAGTAGACAATCATTAGGTTTTATTGATTCTGCACGAGATTCCTGTTCTGTCCAAATGTCCAGCTGCCCCCCTTCTTAAACAAATAGAGCGGAAAATATGCAAGCCCTTTATAAATCTTAAATATACACAGGTGCAATTTGTTAATCGTTTGATTGGAGCATCCTGTTTTAAATGAAACTAGCACATTCCAGGAAAGTGTCGAATTTGTGACAGATGTTGGTACGCACATTTTTATTTTGATTGTGATTCTTGTCTGCACAAAGTTTGCTCCTGGAACTATGCCTGGAACAGAGGATTCAGCAGCCACTAAATGCCCGTGCCTTTGTAGCACGGCCCATACGTTGGCAGAAAGCCCATAGTAGTCATTGCGCAAGGGTGTCTGTCCCCAGCCCGTCCCAGCCGCTGAGATGAGAGGCACAGATTACTTTATTGCATTGTGAATAGCAAAGCACCCGGTTCCCAAAACTGGCAGGGCAAAAGGTCCAGAGTACTAACCATGCTCTTAGCAAAGAGCACCAAAGGAGATTGGAGACAGTGCAAAGGAACTGTCAGTTTGCACAGCCCACCTCGATGATACTTGAAGCAGGTGGACCGGTCCAAGCACAGCACTCTCCATTTTGAGAAGAAAAATGCACAAAAGGAGGCTATCCTAGCGATCAGCCAGAAATTAGTACATTGTGGAAGGGGAAGACTTAGAGGAAGACTACAGACCATGATTTGTAAATTATCCAGAGAGCCCAATGGGCTATGGGATGGTATAAAAATGTAATTATAAAAAAAATTATAATTATATGCCAGTGTTTTCCTAAGAAAGACTTAACCTGATTGCCATAGAGACATCTACACAAACACAGGATATGCTTCCAATGTTCAGACACCGTGAGGTAGTCATGATCCAGTGAGGAGCTTTTTTTGCATCCACACAAATGCAAGTTCTGTGTTCTAGATAACATGAGTGTTTCATAAGCCAGGAGTTCCCAAAGGAGTTTTGGGTGTGTGCTCACTTCAAGCAGTATCATGCTAGGCAGGCCTGTGGGATTCCCCCATCACCCTGTATGAACCAAGGGCTTGTTCTAGAGCGCTCACAGCTCTCCCTCGCCACCTGGTCCCAGCCACCCATTTCAGGGAAGAGCAGGCTGGCCCTACCATTAGGCAGAAAGAGGCGGCCGTTCTGGACAACATGGCAGGGCAACACAGTCCAGTTTAGTTTGGTACCATTTTTATTCCAGGAGAAGCTCAGCAGGCAATGGGTCTCCTAGTAGAATTTCCCCATGGTACTGAAATGTACTGCATGTCTGTTTAAATCATAAGAATTATTTCTAGATTTTTCTCTATACACATAAATTAGCATACGTGTTTCTTACTGCAACCCTGCAGATTTTGGTGCTCTTTTCTGGCAGTGTCTGCCCCCTTTTTGCATAATGTGCTCCTGGACACCCTAATGCCGGCTATGAATGTTCTGCTTCCAGCAATGAAGTGTCTTGGAGCCAGTTCTGGCCGATGAAGGGTAGGGCAGAAAACATGTCTGTCTGTCAGCCACGCTGGCCCACCATTAACAACCTTTCAGGGAACACCATCTGAAAACTGGTGAACTAAATAATCTCAACTGATTTAAACTTCTAGGCAAATGAGACAAATTGCGAAACAACTGTTGTTTCTGGCAGAGAGATATAAAGTGGCACACTATTACTTACTTACTTACTTACTTAAAACATCCTTTATGACAACTAACGTCAGGACGTCTTACAACATTAAAACCAATAAGAGATAAGAACAATCAATAAAGCAGTACAATAAATAGAATAAAAAATAATCAGTAAAAATACAATCAATTTTTTTTAAAAGGCATGACTGTTAACTTCTAAAATTACTGATTTTTAAAATGACATTTGAATAAAAAGGTTTTCACCTGGTACCAAAAAATATATAAGCTTGGTGCCAGGCGAACCATTCTGGGAAGCTCATTCCACAGTCTGGGTGCCACCACGGAGAAGGCCCTACTCCAAGTAGACATCCTCCTTACCTCCTTCAAGGAGGGTTCTCGGAGCAGGGTCTCTCCTGCAGATCGTAAGGGGTGTGAGGGGATCAAGGTGTTGGTTATGACCTTTAAAGCCCTAAACGGCTTGGGTCCTGGTTACCTGAAGGAGCGCTTACATCCATATATGCCCAGCCGCCCCTTGAGATCAGCGGGAGAGGCCCTTCTCCGGGAGCCCCCCATGAGAGAAATTAGGAGGGTGGCTACTCGGAGGAGGGCTTTCTCAGCAGTGGCGCCTAAGTTATGGAATGCGCTCCCTAGAGAGGTCCGCCTGGCGCCGTCGTTATTTGCTTTTCGGCACCAGGGGAAGACCTTTTTATTTAAGCGGTATTTTAACTGTTAATATTATTTGATCTTATCTGGCCAGGGCGGCTTATTTTATATTGTATTTTTTGTATTTTTAATTTTATATGTGTTGTGATTTATTTTATAATTGCCTTTATTTATTGTTTGTAAGCCGCCCCGAGGCTTCGGCGAATGGGGCGGCATAAAAATGCTTTAATAAATAAAAATAAATAAATAAAATATAAGGAAGGAGACCTCCTTCAGGTATCCTGGTCCCAAGCTGTTTAAGGCTTTATAAGTTAAAACTAGCACCTTGAATTGGGCCTGGACTTCAACTGGAAGCCTGTGGAGCTGGTAGAGGACTGGCGTTATATGAGAATAATGACCAGTCCCCATCAGCAACCTGGCAGCTCTATATTGTACCAATTGAACTATCCAGACTGTTTCCAAGGGCAGCCCCACATAGAGCGCATCGCAGTAATCCAAGTGGGAAGTTACCAGAGCATGTATCACCGTTGCTAGGCAGTGTTCATCCAGGTAAGGATGCAGCTGATGGACCAGTTAAAGCTGGAGGAAGGCGTTCCTTGCCACCACTGCCACCTGGATCTCCAGTGACAGCTCTAGGTCAAGGAGCACTCCTAAGCTGCGGACCCTGTCCTTTAGAGGGAGTGCTATCCCATCCAAGACAGGGTCGAAGTCACCTACCTGAAAGCCTGAACCACACATCAACAGGACTTCCGTCTTATCTGGATTGAGGCTCAGTGTATTGGCCCTCATCCAGCCCTTACCTCGGCCAGGCACTGGTTCAGTACAGCCACTGCCTCACCTGGGGAAGATGTGAATATTATTAGAATATGGGTGAGTTCAAAGCTAAGGGTTTTGGGAGTGGGGGATGTTTTTGTTTTGGTTCTTCTCTGTTTCATGAACTCTTTTACCCTTCCAAGACTTTAAGTTCCTTTAAAAGATTATGATGCGCTACCTTCTCTCTAGTAACTATTTTATGAAAATGAACGTGATTGTGTTCAAGACTGTGGAAACAGAACAAAATTTACCCAAGACTTATTAAAAGGGCAATGTGTTCTTATAATTATTTTTCTTTCTGTTCACATGTGCCTATAAAATTAGATGGCATATTAGGAATCTGAAAATAAGATGAAATTTTAACACAAACAAAATCCCATCAGAAGCTGGCTAAGAGCAATTAAAGGAAAAATCTACCTACTTGATTAAATATGAAATATCAAGTCAATTATATCCTCTGCTGCTCATTTTAAATGAAAAATGGCTAACCTAAGCAGCTTATATTGGATTCCTTTCTAATTCTTATTTTGAAGGGGACACCTATGCATAAGAATGGGTTTATTTAATCCTGCTTCTTTCTACAGAGTGTTTGCCTTTAATTCCTCCTTTTTCTTTTTTTAGTATGCCCTCAGTAATAAGTCATGCATAGGTAATCTCTATCGCACTCTAGCAGATCCTCTAAAATGACATAACGTGCAAAAATCATATTTACTAATAGTGAATTCAGTTCACCTAGTGCTGGTCCTTATGTAGCTAAAGCAGCACCACAAAATGGGGCGATGTCAGCTGAAGAGCTCTTGCACCTTTTGAAACAGATGCAGACAAAGCCCTCCCTTGAGGCTGCTCTAATTCATTATTAGATTTTGCTTAAATTCTTGTGTATCATTTTTCAATGATAATAAAAGTTTGTAAACATGGGTGTCAGAGCAGTGCAGCTGTTCAGTCTCAGCGTTCTCAGTGGCAAAGGGACTTCTGAAACTGTAAAAGTAGCCAGTCCAAACCCAGATCCTGCCAGATGTTTCAGTTGCTTGTCCTGCAGCCATAGTTAGCAAATCATGTTTAACACACAAAACAGAGCATGTCAGGAAGTTATCACTGAGACCTACAAGCTGATCCAAAGCCGATTTGCCCTCATCAAAAGAAGAATCTCAGGTTCCAATCAATGTTTGGGCCATAGCCGCTGTGATAAAGCAAACCTAAAAAGCAACTGGTTTCCATATAATATAACACCAGAGGGCAGCATGGTAACACAGAGATGACTCAACAGCCCTGCTGGGCTGGCTAAAAGATCTATTTGCTTCCGCAATCTGGATGCTGCAGCCATGCTTGTAGCATGTCAGGAGGCGACTCGGGGAGACGAATGCTTTGTCCAGGGACGCAGAGCAGTGATGCGCTGGTGAGCTGCAAAGGCCTGTGGAGGCCTGGTGTCCTGCTCATCACTCCATCCCTTTCAAAGATGGAGTACACCACTTGGGCATGCTGGGAAACCATCCACCATATAACCCATGAAGCTTTTTAAACGAGTCCGTATGAATATCGTTATATAGTAGTGGTTCTGATGATCTAAAAGTAGGTCATCAAGGCCATCTCTCTGCTATCTGTGTGGTTTATTCTTATAGTTTGTTTTGTCTTGTTTTTAAAGCAAGGATTCAATCCATACTTGTGTCATACATAGAGAAGGTCCATTGAAATGAGTGGAGCTCACTTAGAATGGAGCAATGAGTTAAGTCGAAGTTTAATCATAGTCTGAACCCAAAGTTAGCATTTGTGTGTCTCGAAGTTTGCCTTAGCCAATTGGTTTCAAGGCAATGGAGGTGTAGGCAT